CGTCACTTCGCCGCCCCCAGCGGCCAGGTTGACGGAGCGCGCGCCCAACAGGCGGCCTCCTCAGCTCGCGGCCGGCTGGGGACGGGTCGGGTAATCTGCCCGCAAGGCCGACCGGCCAGCCACCCGCGTTCACGTACATGCCCCACTGGTTGCGGGATTATCTCGTATGACGGATATCGCGCGAGGGGGGGGGGGGGGATCGCATGCCGTGAACGGATGTATGGGAAGGGTCGCTCATCCTCGGTGTGTTCAGACATCCACTCTGCGGAATTGCTGCACCGGACGCGATGGAGAACGTGTATCGGTGGGCAGGATGTTGCTCCTGGCCCCGGGCTTGTGGGGATTCTGGAGCGTTCTGCAGTTTTTCGAGCCCAGGCCTCGCTGGGGCAATCCCTAGTCCCCGCCCCCTGCCGGGACAGGGAGGCAGTCGGCCGGGCTCGCTGCCAGTCAGTCCTCTTGCCAGCGGTGCGTCCGCCGTGACAGGGGAGGAGAGGGAGGGGTGGGAGCTCGGCCGCAGGCCTGCTTGTGAATGGAACGCACAGGTGCAGCCCGCGGTGGCGGCCGGACCCGGGGCGCCGACCGTGACCAAAGCGTTGTGGTGGGGCGGGGTGGGGAACGTCGGCAGCGCTGTCGGCCGGCGACAGGACAAGGACGGTCGATGGTTGGCTCGCTAGCGGCACCGGACCCCAGTTACCGTTCCCGTCCATGCTCGCTGCTCGGTCCGTGAACCCACAGTTCAGCGGTGTGGACTCAGCGCTCAGCGCTCAAACAATCGGCCGGGCTCGTAGGTGGTGAGTTGTTCACGGCTCAGCGCTGAGAGCCATGAACGACTCATCACCGTGAACTCACTGTTCTTACCCATAGGCTTGTCTTTCAGGGCTCGGACCACGGACAAACTGCGGTATTTTTTTGTGAACAGGTGTTTGTCCGACGCAGGTGTTTGAGGTGCAGCCCAGCCTGCTTGTCCGACCGGAAACTAGTCCAGGTTATTTGTGTTTGCGGCAATGAATCAGCGCAGGGTGCACCATTCTGTCCAAGCCCACGCCTTACTGAGCATGGACTTTCCTACCAGTTATGGCGCAAGCGCATTGACAATGGTCCACCCGCTGTACGCTTGCCTGGGACGCAGGTCAGAGATGCTCGCGTCTGGCTTGGACGGCAGATGTTTATCGTCTAATTTTTTAGCGCGAGGACCTGCTCAGCCCAGTCCGTTTGAGGGATGCTGGGTGTGGTTCACAGGCATTATTAGAGCAGGGTTTCTAATGTTTCGGCAGGCAGGTGTATCAGGACGCTGGTCTGGCCCCTCCGAAGGCCGTCAGCTGTCTCGAGAAACTGCCGGCCAGACTTGGCATCATAATTGGCGTTCGATATTCTCTAAGGACTCGACTTGGAGCATTAAGGCTGGTGGTTGAGAAAGTCGAGCGGCGGGACGAGCCCTACCGGTCGCATTTCGCTAAGATGCCTTTTACAAGGCCCGTGCACCACACTCTCTCTAAAAAAGCAGGAATTCTGCGCAAGCGAGACGTGTGAGGGTCAACATTAACGTCTGCTACATGCAAAAGCTTTATCTGCAAACAACCCGTTGCCCAGCACCGCCTATGTCATGTACGAATCGATTGGCCGCGCTCTAAGCCTGATGGCTTCCACACGCTTCTCTCAGGCGAATCACTGCCCGGGCTCTGGTCCGGACTGGTGGAACCGGACCGGACCGGACCGAACGGTATCGGCGCGCCGCACGCCGCCGGCTCCAAACATTCCAACATTTGCGATGCATGACATTGCGTGCCGCCGCTGACCTCGGCGTCCGTCGGAACGGACTGCTCTCCGACAGAGGGCAGGTCGTACGGCAGGATACCGCCGGCTATGGCGGGTGGGGTTGGGTCTGAGCCGGTCGCTCCATCCTCTTTCGCGCGGAGCTGGCATCTGGTGCTCTCTCGGGAACCCCCGGATGAGCCAGCCTCCTCGCCGCGAGATGGCCTCCTGGAGCGGGATGGCGCCAGCGCGAGCCATGCCGACCAGCCGGCCAGCAATGACCTTTATCGACTCGGCTCGTGTCACGCCATAGCCAAAACGGCTGCAAGCGGCTTAGTCTCTAAACCCCTGCCCCACCGCAGCCTTGGCGGTTTCCAGAACTTTCGCGTCCGCGAGATGGCCGGCGGCACCGTGCAGTCTCCGCCGCGTCGCCGAGGTTCGGTAGACTGTTCCGGAGCGCCTGGAAACTGCAGCGTCATGGCGGCGAGCACCAAGTGGCGACGCGGTCCACATGCGCCCGCTGCCCTCGCCAGAATTGCGGCGAACAGTGCCGGAATCAGCCTCCAGATTCGCGGGGTTTCGGCCGGCACTAACGCCATGTTGTACCATAGTGTATACCAATGTCGCACACGGAAATTCTCATAAGCGATGCCCCTCGAATTTTCTACCGGATGTGCAGTGGGTTTTTAGGAACCGTGCCGGGGGATGCCTTTGGCGCTTTCACAATCGGGCCGTGTTTCCATGGCGGGACGCCGGCCACGCGGGGCTGATGGCACTGCTGCTGGGAGCAGGAGCCCCTCCCTTTCCCCCTCCCCCGCCCACTCAGGTAGTGATCCAGCTACCAGCCCCGCATGACTAATGCATAATGGGACTCGGCGCTGCACCAAGCAGGCACCGTTAGGTACAGATGCGATGCGCGACTTGGGCGGCGTCAGCCGGCGGAGGTGAGGGCGGTCGGCGGCAGCCATAGCACGGCACAGCTGGGTACTCACGGGCTCTCACCACGGGCTGACGACCTGTGACAGCGGTGGCGAGATGTGACGAGGGCCAGATATCCGGAATCGTTGACATATTTCGGTGTCTTTTAATCATGCATTATTGCCGTGGGTTTCCGAACGATGACGGTGTTCTTCATCAGATTCACATCATACGCTAGACATATTACACCCCAAAATAACTGAACGTTCCTGAGCGGAGGATCTATAAGCCCCGTGCTGGAATGAAAGTCTTTGCGTCTTATAAGTCTGATGCCCGCCAATGAATGAGATCTGCCATCCGCCATGCACTATCTATGCATATTTGAGCAAGATTTAGAGATTGCTCACGTAACTATCTCCGGAAGTTTACCCGTGCGTACTGCCGATAACGCGCCCATGTGTACCACGGGCGTCTGCGGGTGTGTACCGCTGCCGTCTGCGGGTGTGTACCGCTGCCGTCTGCGGGTGTGTACCGCTGCCGTCTGCGGGTGTATACCGCTGCCGTCTGCGGGTGTGTACCGCTGCCGTCTGCAGGTGTAGCACCGCTGCCGTCTGCGGGTATGTACCGCTGCCGTCTGCGGGTTTGTACCGCTGCCGTCTGCGGGTGTGTACCGCTGCCGTCTACGGGTGTGTACCGCTGCCGTCTGCGGGTGTGTACCGCTGCCGTCTGCGGGTGTGTACCGCTGCCGTCTGCAGGTGTGTACCGCTGCCGTCTGCGGGTATGTACCGCTGCCGTCTGCGGGTTTGTACCGCTGCCGTCTGCGGGTGTGTACCGCTGCCGTCTGCGGGTATGTACCGCTGCCGTCTGCGGATGTGTACCGCTGCCGTCTGAGGGTGTGCGCGGCCGTTCGCTGGCACGCGCACGGGCTGCGGCGCCGTCCGAGCGCGTGACTCCGCCGCCGCCGGCCTGGGCATGCCGCGGATGGCGGACTCGGCTAACGGTCGGCTGGCACGCGCGGAGGCCGGCCGCCCTCCCGGCAGAGCTGGACCAGCGTCGGCACCAAGGCCGTAGTCGAACGGAGAGGGGTGCGCGCCTCCTCTGCTGCGCTAGAGCGGCCAGCGCCACCCCTGATCCTCCCGGGGACCGGCCGCACCCGGCTCGGGCTGCACGCTGTGCACCTGCGGGATTGGAGCGATGCACTGTTGCCCGGGTCAGTTCCTGAGACTGTTCGGCGACTGCGGCCGGCACTGCACCCGGGGCTTGCCGGCGTGTGGTCCACTCTGAAGGCCCAGGGGCTCGCCGTGGGAGCGCGACCTCCTGTGACCGGATGGCCGGCCTGTCTGCCGAGTGTGACCCACGAGACCGGTCCGGCCGGCCGCCGAGCGACCTGTGCCGACGCGGTCGGGCCGATTCGGATGCAAAGATGGCTCCGCTGTGTGTGCTAAACCCAGTGAAGACTGCATGTGAGGTTTAGCCGTCGTCATCGTTCGATTTTCTCGGAACGTGAGACAAATCGCTTGGGAACGGCCCGTCATTAGCATACAAAGTTACCACGCCAAACATATGGCCGCGTGCCGGGACACGGTCTTGGCGATTGTTGTCGCGCCTGACCTGGTTGAATGCGGATGGCAGCGCGGCGTGGCTGGCGCCGAATCTCGCCGCGTCTCCACCGGGCGCGGTGGCCGGGCTGAGACCAGTGAAAGTCAGCTGCGGTGCGTGAGACGGCCGGCGAACAGATGCAGTGACTGGAGAAGGCGAGCGGGCCGCCTGCCGACTGTTGTGACTGCGAGCGGCGGGCGAACCAGCGCTCCCTGAAGGGGGGGGGGGGGGCGTCAGCCAGCTCCAGCAGACGGGTTACGTCAGCGACGCTCTGGAGTGGGTCATCTCACGAAAGGCGCTGCCAACAGCGACTCGCCGGCTACGGCGACTTCGCCGCAGCGGCAGCGGCCTGTCAACCCACAGGCGCACCACCTTGACCTTCGTGTTCAGGTGACGCGTTTGCCTGTTCAGACTTGTCGTCGGCGCTGCTGCTCGTCTGGATGGCTCGGCGATCGCCACATCTGCACAGCAGACGCGTCGCAAACGTCTAACCTGCGCGCTCCCCGCGCCACGCTATCCGAAGTGACGGACTGTGTCACACTCCCGTCATCGATGCCGTGCAATGTGCGTGTCGTACCAGACGCCATCGTGTTGGGAGTGGCAGCGAACGTAGTGGGAGCGGCGGCTTAGGCGTCGCCATGTGGTCGGCCCGCGTCCGCCTGTCTCCCACGCTCGCCCCCGCGCGCCGCGTCCGGGCCGCACAGCTGACACCGCCCCTCGCCTGTCCACAGACACCTACTCGACGACGTGTCCGACGACGTCGTTCCTGTGCGGCGCGTCGCAGAAGTGCATCCCCAACCAGTGGGTGTGCGACTACCACCCCGACTGTCCGGACGGCGAGGACGAGAAACAGTCGTGCCGTGAGTGGTCGGGCGGACACCGGGAAGGTGGACACTCGCGGGCGGGTGCGGGTGCGGGTGCGGGGGCGGGGAAGGACGCCAGTGTGGTGAGAGGGGGTTTCAGCCGTGCTTTGTCGGGTTGGGAGGTAGATTGGACGGGGGCTGGGGATTCTCCCTGATCGCCGGGTGGAAACGGGTCCTGAATTTTCCGGTGAGAACAGTTTGAGCGTGCTGCAGTCTGTGAGCCTAGGTCTGAAATTCGCTGTCTTCGGGAGAGCCGCTTCCCACACATGCATTGACTTTGTGCGACCGTGCGCCGTGCGGTTCGAATTCCCGCACTTCAGTAGTAGCCCTCGCCTGCGTCACTGCTCCATTCTGTTGTCTGTTGCATGTCTCCCACTGCTCTCATGCTGCTCCTTGTCATTTCTACCCCGGTCCCGTTGTAGGGGGTGATGACGTCACGGCCGTGGATGCTCGGGCTACCCCCCGACGCCTTGTTATCCGTCATCGCGCGGTCGCGTGCTGACCTTGGCTGTCCTTGGTCGACCGGCCGGTCCTCCGCGCCGCAGCCGGCAGCCGGCGGCCGCGCGCTGCGGCTCGCGCGGCGCTGGGGACGCGCCGGCAGCGCCGGCAGCTCTGTGGGCGGACCGTGACGTCACCCACCGGCCCCACACCGGCGCCGGCAGGGACGCATGGGCCCGGCAGCGGCGCTGGCGACGCGGGCCCCGGACCGTGACGACGGGAGGGGCCGCTGGGGAGGGGGCGTGACCGGTAACAGGCCTGTGACGCGACTCAGGCCGGGAGCAGCCGCGGCTCTCTGTGGGCGTTATCTGGTCGGGATTAATGGACGCCTTAATGGGGTGTGACAGCCTGTTGACCCTTCCCAGCGGGTGAAACGAACCTTTGGGATACCGCCGGGGCGGACCAGGATCCCTCCGAATCGGTGCCGGGAGGGTGCTGGGGTTGACGTAGCGGCCGAAGGAACTAGCGTCGGCGAGCGGCGATATTGGCATGTTTGGGCACTTCTGCGCTCGAGCTTCCTTTGTGGCGAACCCTTGGGCATGCTTTACCCTGTTAACTTGACATTGGCCACGATGCTTCCCCGTGGCGGACTGCAGGGCCGGTGCTCATGTCTCGCTGTGTGACGGACCTGCGGCTGACACCTCGCGTGCCGCCTGCCGGTCCCGGTACGGCGCCTCCGCCGGTGCGTGACGGCACAACGCGCGCGTCCCCTGCACCGCCTCACCCCGCGTCGCCCGTTGTGCAGCGCCGCCCGCCTGCAAGGAGGGCGAGTTTACGTGCGGCGAGTACAAGTGGAACCACACGTACTGCGTGCCGAAGCATCATCCGCTGCGACAAGCTGCAGGACTGCGCTGACAACGCGGACGAGAAGGACTGCAGTGAGTACGGCCGCCAGTGAGCGGTCCGCTAAGTCTGGGCGGACTGGCTGCTGGCTGGTCATCAGCCATCCCTACCACATGGGTGCGATTGGCGGCCTTGTGATATCTCACTTCGTCCCGGGAGATCATCGGTGGCTCGTGTCGACAGGGTTTACTGTGTGGCCTGGGCCCGGGAGCGGAGCACCGGGTCGCGAGCGGGAGGCTCAGGCTGTTGCCAACACTAAGCTACCGGCTCGGCGCACCCCAGACCGGCCGTGCGGGACTCGGAGGGTCGGAGGGACGGGGGGCGGTCTGCGGCTGATGTTAAGACGTTCTCGGGACGTAGCGAGCCGCAAAACGGCCTTCAGTCTCTGAAATTCACGCTGCCTTGAAAAAAGCTCGGTGGGTACACGGATGAGCCTCTGTCGAATCTAGCAGGCTTATCAAGCTGTTTGGCGTACACGGTGACACGCGTCGTGCGAAGGCAAACAATCGCGAACGAATACGCGAATCCTCGTGCAAAGTTGTTCTACTTCTGCTCAAAACAGAACTCAACGCTGTCGCTACTACATTGGAATTCACGACCGGCAGTGCACGCTACCTGTTGGTCCGCATATATGGCAAGTCAGACGGCGATAAAAATGGGCGGGATCTCGTTTGGCTGGGACACTTTTCTGCAACAGTTCGGTCCTTGACGTCACTGTTTCAGTCGCGTTCGTGACGGGAAATGAATCCGGTCGCGTTCGTGACGGGCTTGCCGACATGCTACTGCCAGCGATCACAGTACGGATGGTCCTGGACGCCATGTGGCATTCAGTGCAGCATTTCTAGGTTACGAGACGCGATTGTCACGCTCCTCGCGCAAGTCAGCGTTCCACGTATGGTGCGCTGTTTCTTGATAGGTCGCGGATTTCAGTGGTGCTGCCATTGTCCAGCGGTTCTCAAATGCGGCTCGCAGCATCGGATCGTGCTCGTGCAGCGATCCCCACATGACGGATAGCTCTAACATTTTGTGGGGAGCCTGGCACGTTGCAGAGGGCGACACGTGATCCCAGGGGGTGATAAAGGTGCCTTTTCTGTCACGAACGAAATTTGGAACCGTCTCAATTGCCACCTGGAGTCAAACCTTTCAGAAACTGTTGCAATATAACTCTAAATGTAATGAACTACAAAACAAAGACAAATGTAATGCAGTGCGACATAATCATCAGACATTTTTGTTTCTGGAATGCATTCGCACATAAGTAGTATTTGCTGGTCATCAAACACTGAATGATGCTTGGAACTATACTAATAAAATTATCACATAAAGGCATAATTAATATAGCCAGCGTAGAGGCGTGTAGTTTTCTATTCAGTTAAGGGGATGGGGTTGTGCCTCCAAGCCATGAATGTAGTTTCCTATTTTTATTTATCATTTTTGAAGTATTGTGTTTCATTGATAACAATTTTTGAAGCTTAGACCCCTAAACTAATTGCGAGAAACTACACCCCTGCTCCCAACTGCGAAAAGAATGTGAGTCAAATCTGTGGAGAAATCTGTTCTAAGTGCATTTAGGCGACAGGCCCAGCCATTTTTTCATACTCCATACCCCCGTCATTCCTCATCCTACGTTATTTGCAAAATTGCACCCCTGTGACGTCACGTTTCGTAACGTAATTGTCAACGTTTTGACATGTGTTCTACACATGCTCATGCTGCAAGTGTTTGCGAGTACAGACCAATACCTAACTTTGAGTTTCGGGTAGCTGGGACAGTCTGTTGTAATATGGTGTGGTCTGTTGAAATTCGTCTGCGTTTTCGCAATTTCGCCAGGGATTGGTTTATAGAAGTGTCAGTTTTTGTCACCGATCATATCCGGCACATCAGAGGCCTTCCTTCACCCGTGTGATCCATTGTCCCTGCCATCGCCGTTGCGGGGAGTTGGTGTCCCTTGATTGGTGCTGGCGCGGTCCAGCGGTCGTGGCGCGCTGGAGCGGCGGCTCCGGCGGCGGTGTCCACTGGCTTGCTACCCGTCCACGTGCCCGACCGCTCGTTAAGCCACCGGATCGATGCCGGCGGAGGAATCAATGCGCGCGGCCGCGGGGCTCGGCGAAATGCAGCGTAATAGACGTTACCCTGGGACATTCAGCATAATCGGCCTCAAGACCATCGGACACCTTCGATGCGTCTTGTTCTTCCGCGAGTGCACTTTCGTTTATTATTCTGCCCGTACAACTACACGGGCTATCTACCATGAACGCACTTGCTCTGCGTCGCGTATTTCGTAATTCCTGCAAGAGGAGTGATCGTCAACCCTTAGATATTGCTGTTGTTAATCATTCAGATTTCCACGGTCACAAGCAAATGCGAAGAGATCCTGGCCGCCCTCTTTTGGAAGCCTTGACTCCGTCGGCGAAGAGTGATCACCTTCTTCCCTCCCACTTGGAATGCCGTTTATCAGATAATTGTGTGAACTGAGCTGTGATGGATGCTCACGAGTTGCGGCCCTGAATTTAGCGCCCAAATCGTCCGAATAAAGCCTAGCTTGGCTCCCTTGCGCCGCTACTCTGCTATTCTGTCATGTTTCAGCAGTTTGTGTAACAGCTAGTTGCTGTGATACTCGAGAGACACCTTTTTGGCCATGGAAGCCCGTCGTGTTCCGCGTGGCCGACGCGCTGGTGCTGACAGGCGCGGTCCCCAGCAGCTTCTGTCTCCCTTTGCGAGTGCTGCTCTCAGCTGTTGTCACCTCCGTTTGATAGCACTTCCTTGATCCTCCGCTGCTTCCGCCTTGCGGCGCCGTCGTCAGTTGCTTGTCACGTCCTCCCTGTGACGTCATCTCCCCGTCATCAGCAGTGTGCCACCCCGTGTGCCGCAGACTACCGCGAGTGCAATGCCGAGGATTTCAAGTGCGGCTCCGGCCTCTGTGTGCCGTCGGACAAGAAGTGTGACGGATACTTGGACTGCCGGGATCACTCGGACGAAGACCAATGCGATGGTGTCTCCTGCGACCTGGACCAGCTGAGGTGAGACCTGCTATGACCTGGACCGACTGAGTGATGGGAGATCTGTGCCCCGGACCAACTGATTGAGGTGAGACCTGCTGCCGCCTGGAGCAAATGAGTGAGGTGATGCCTGCTGTGACCTGGACCAACCGAGAGCGGTGAGACCTACTGTCGCCCGGACCAAATGAGTAAGATGATGCCTGCTGTGCGGTGAGTGAGTGAAGTGAGAACCAACTGCGTGAGGTGAGATGGCCTGGACCAGCCGGTGTCAAACAGGGCTGCAACCTGGCGTGACCTAGACCCGCTGAGGTGAGCTCTGGCGTGACCTAGACCAGCTGAGGCGGGACCTGAGCTGTGAGCACGAACCTCCCCCAGGAGAGATCGGCACCCGTGCCGCCCTGCTGAGACAGACAGCCTGTTGCTGCCTCTGCCACCCTCCTGTTTAATCGATGCACGGAGGCTGCAACTGGCCGTTGCTCTGGAGTCGCCATGTGGGGTTAGCAGAACAAATTGTCGTTGTCTCATAGAAATGGGAGACCGGTGAAGGGTTGTAGAACCCACTTTGTTTCCCAGCTGCAATGCCGTTTTAAACGCCCGTCTTGAGACGTACCGAGCTTGCAGCTGTGTGGAATCCACCCATCGCAAAAGCGTGGCCCATAAACGTGTTTGGGACATGCGTTTTTAAAACATGTTCGGGCGGCGTCACGTTTGGGTTCGTTATCGTACGTGAAAGACATCAATGGGTTGCAGCTAGCCATGATTAATCGCAGCATGCGATTTTTCGCCTATCGGTTTTGAGAGGCGGGGTTTGCAGTCATCTCAGTGCATATTTTCACGCTACATCCTTTGTTACCTCGACGTCAATCGCGTCGTCTTTGATCCACCAGGTGCAAGGACGGCAAAGGTTGCATAGAGAAGGACCAGGAGTGCAACCACCGCAAGGAGTGCGAAGATGGCAGTGACGAGGAGGACTGCAGTGAGTGTCGGGGAGTGTGCGGTGTCGGCCGCCGCAGCGCGGCCGGCGGCCAATCCAAAAGCGGTCCCCCTGACTTCAAGCTGCGAAAGGTGTATGCTTGGCCCAGCTGGGTCGCTCGGCAGAGGCGTTACGTAAAGGAGCGCGAGACGCAGACGCCGCGCCGGGCGCAGACCAGAGTGGGTTCGGTGGTGGCCGTGGGGCGCTTCAGAGGCTGCGCCGGGGAGCTGGTGCAGCCAACTAGTCACGCACATTAATTGAATGGGCCATGTATGGGCCGGACTCAGCTGTGCCGCTTTTGGGACTGTGCTGGCAGGGGTATGCGATTCGCGTGTACGGAATTGTGGTGCGGTAAGAATAGTTCGCTGGCAACTCCCCGTCATGGCCATGGCGGCTGTTATCACGCAGTACCCAAAAACGCAGCACAGAAGCTTTATGAAAAATGCGCTGCGTGTCACTCGCTCGTTATAAAGTCAGCACACGTCCCCGTGCTGCGAGCGACGTAGGCGAGAGTGATATTACAGGGCGTGTCCGATCCGATGCAGTCGCGGTAGAGCGCAGCCGTGCCGCTCCAGTTGGCGTTGTTTGTGGCTGCGGCGCGTCGGAATGTAGCCGCCGCGCCGTCCAATCATCATTCCTCGGGCGCACCGGCGATTCTCTGGCGACCTGTGCGGACTCTTTGCCCCGCCGCGCCGCCCGTGTGCGACGGACCTGACCGGCCGGACTACCGCCAGACTTCCCGGCCTGCCACGAGGGCCAGTTCCGCTGCGACAACGGCCTGTGCATTCCGCACCGGTGGAAGTGCGACTCGTCGACCGACTGCTCGGACGCGTCCGACGAGCGCGACTGCCAGGTGAGCCGGCCGCGGCGCCAACGCCGCTGTACCCAGCGACCCCGCTTCGCGCCGCGCCGAGCCGCGCCGAGCCGCGCCGCTCGCCGGCGGTGCCAGCCGTCTTGGCGCCGGCGTCCGTTTTGAATGGCGTTTGCCGGTGATTTAAGGCGGCGTTGGCAGCGCCACCGCGGGCTGGCCGACGCCCGTGTTTCGACCGGCGGAACAGGGCCGGGTCGTGTGTGTCTCGTCCACCGGCGACTCATGGTGTGACCAGGACGCTGAGGTCGGGCGAGGAAACTGATCACGATCGGGGAGACAGTCAGGCAGCCGGTCCTGAATGGGCGTTTACTGTGGTCATGTCCTGAGTGGTGCAGAATGGTTTGACAGACGTGCCAAAAAAGTGCGTTATAGCGTCAGGATTGACAAGCACAGGGGCTATTTCGGGAAAAACGGACGGGACGCTGCCATATCCACCGTTTCCCGCTAGCGTCCGCGCCCCTGTCGGCCACCAGCTCACGCTAACCCCCCCCCCCCCCCCTCCCCGCCGCCACCCAGGCGGTCGACTGCCCGGAGGGCCAGTTCCTGTGTGAGGCCGACAAGAAGTGTATCGACAGCACCAAACTTTGCGACACCCAGTCCGACTGCACCGACGGAGCCGACGAGAAGAACGACACGTGCTGTAAGTGAACAGCTCGTGCGTGGCTGCTGACCGTTTGGTGCTGACTTCAGGGCTTATCGACTGGCGCAGCGCGCTGTTGACGTGCTGGCTAGCGTGCGTGCGTGCAAGGGCTTGCTTCTCTGTTGTTGTGTTTGTGTTCGTCTCTTCGCGTGTGTGCGGGTGTGCCTGTGCGCACGAGTTTGAGAATGCCTAGATCCGTGCGCGCTTGCATGGTATTAGCACCCCTGGGAATATGAGAGTCGTATTCTAACCTGTTGTGCAAGGAGGAAAACGCACTGCTCTGTTTTAGTCTCTGAGAAACGTGATCACCGGTGCTATAAAGATCCGCATTTGTAGAGCCTCCTTGGGCCTGAGTTCCTCCAACCAGACGGTTTCACACGTCTACATTTGATCTCGCGGATCTCTCCGCAATCGATCTCACGGATGTTCCCTCTGTCCTGTTTCGTAATCGATCGACGTCGATATTGCCATGCCTTCCATTGAATCCATTCAGCTGTTTACTCGACCGTCTGCGAGCCTTGCCACTCTAAGATCGAACCACGGCCCACCGGTGCTTCGGGGTCACCTTCAGAACCGCCGGGGTGCATGACGCAGCATATTCATGTCTCACGTTCCGCGAACTGCCTCGAGAACACCGCACAAACAAGAAATGTCATTCGTTTCGTGTCTGACGAGCTTACAGACGAAGCCGCCCTTATCTGGCTGTCATGGCATTCCACCGCCTTGAGCTTTGAAGCGTGGTCCTGTGGAGAACCGACCCGTGCCAGAGCCTTGTGTATGCGAGTGCACCTCTGTGAGATCGATGTTTCCGCTCCCTTTGCCGGCCGGGGAAAGTCGCTAGCAACGTTGGCTGTGCAGCTCTGCATTGGAACTCTCGATTGTAGCTGCGCTCGCGATGCCGTACAAGTTTCCCACCATGGCGCCTGTGTCACCTCATGTCGCCTCCGGCATCTCTCTGCCGTCCGTTTCTGCCTTCCCCCTGTTCGGTCTGTGTGACGCCTCTGCGCCCCCCCCCCCCTGCCTCCTCCCGCCGACCCGCGTGACGCCTCCACGTCACCCCTGCCTCCTGCCGTACACGTGCCGAGCCGGGTCCGGTCTTGCTCGTGGTCCCCCCCCCCCCCAGACTCTCTGCGCCCCTTGCTGACCCGCGCGCGGACCTTCGGCAGCCAACGAACTGTGCGAGTCGCTACAGTGCGAGCACAAGTGTCGGCCCTCCATGGACGGCGGCATGTGCGTGTGTCCAGTAGGCAAGGCGCTGGCAGACGACGGTCGACTCTGCGACGGTAAGCACGGCCAGTGTCGAGGTCGGGGCTGACCCCCCCCCCCCCTCACCGGCGACGACGAGGGTTCCCACCAGGATCAGGCTCGGGTGCGAGCTCGGAAGTGCAGTAGGCGATTTAGCCGCGTGTTCCGATGCAGAGCTTGAATCTGGGTCTTGGGGTCGCCTCGGGAAGTGGGATAATTTTCGAGGTGCGCATGCTCAGTTCCGGGAAATGGCATGTGTTTCAGTCGTGATGATGCGGTAATTTTCTCTAGCTGTGCGGAAGGGCTGTGATGTGATGGGCGCTCTTTTGTCTTCTGTTTTGTCCCTGTGCATAAGTGCTCGCTCGCTGGCACTGGGTTCCCTCTACGCTGCACGATTCAGCCTTGGGCTCTTTTAGCATCAGAGTGTATGAAGACGTGCTGAGAATATCACCTCTCTGTTCCCAGACTTCAACGAGTGCAAGGGCTGGGGCTTCTGCGACCAGTTCTGCACCAACACCGAGGGCAGCTTCAAGTGTCTCTGCAAGGTTGGATATCAGCTGAACGGCACCGTGTGCCGCGCCGAGAACTCGGAGGCGCTGCGGCTCTACTACGCCCACAAGAAGAAGGTACGCACCGAGTTTTCCGCCCCGCACAGCAGCAATATGTCAGCGCACGGTTTCGCATGCCTGCACGCTTGCCGCGGTGAAGGCTATCGGGTGGAACATCTCAAAGCGCCTGATGGTGGACCACGTGGATTTCTCGTAATATGTTGTGAAGACGCGCCTCCTTCGCACGCGCGGACGCATTGCCCCGCACCTCTTTGGCTGGAGTCCCACATCGACAACAACACGCATCACCCAGCCTCGTGTTGGACAAACTGACGCCCGACTCCTGGACAACGGCTCCACACTGAAATTCTCATTTGTCGGGCCCGCTCTTTAGCTCGCGTCGCCAGCGCTCGACGGGACCTGCGACATGCCTGGCGCTGACGCCGCCGCGCCCGTCCACCCGTCCACCTTGACTCAAATGCTAAGCATTCGCCGGAGCGCCGCGTCAGCAGCGCCGTGCAAGGCTTTCTCTGCAGCATTATCGCACCTGGCGATTCGTCAGCGTCGGTGACCGCACCCGGCTGGCGGCGCCGCGCCGACGCCCGCGGCCGTCGCCCCGCCGCGTCCAGCGCCGCCAGCTGGACAGGCGGCTCCGCGCTCGACGGTTTGCCGGCTGCCTCGGACGGGCGGGACTCAAACAAAATGGCGGAGAAGTCTCGGACCGGCTCCGCCGTTGACGGGGCACGGGGTGTGACGTCGCGCTCCGGTCGTGCCCGGGGCCCGGGCCGGGTGCGCGCCGCTGGCTCCGCTGACCGGACGGATCGCTGCCGGCGTCGGGTCGGGGTGCAGCGTCGCGAGAGGGGCCCCTCCGGCCGAAGGCGCCGCCGCCGGACGCTCGCCACATAAACGAGCTCTGAGCGTGCCCGGCCGAACAGTGGCAACACGTCGCGAAGCGCCGGCGCGCAATGGCGACCGGTTCGGATGGAATTCCCCAGCTAATCGGCGGCCTACCGCCCGACCCTGGCACGGGCCCGCGCCAAGCCGTGATTCAGAGACACCGGCCGAACCGCCGAGCACGCCGCGACGGCCGGGACGGCACCGAGCTACCGGCTTTTATTAGTCGTTGGAGGCCTTTTCCCCGCCATGGGCTTAGTGTTACATGAGCAGAGGGAGGGTACCAACTTTTGGCTGCAGGTTGAGCAGAGAACATCTATGGAAATCAAGAACTACACTTACTACAAGAACTACATTTATATTGCCAGTTTGTGGCCAGCGTCTGTGCACGTCAGCATGCTTCTGCACTTGCTCTTGCAATAAATGCACACGCTGGAGCACGAAGCGCACGGCTGTGGGCAGTGTTGCAGGGAGCCGGGAGGGGCGCCGCCGCGAACAGCTGGGTGGGACCCACCGCTCGTGTCCCGCTCTCACTCAGCCTGCGGCCACTGTCCGCCCACTGACGATCGAAGGTGTTTGCCGTCGTGAATTGCAATGAATAACGTAACGAATCGAACAGCGCTACTGCGTAGCAGGCTGCTAACAACGATCCATTAAATAGACCGATGTGGCAGTGTTGTGCTCCTGGACACACATGCTGGTCTGATCTGTACTGCCGCATCGCCAACTCCGACGGAACCGGGCGACCGGGACTCGCTTTACCCTCCACCCGATTAACACTGAAAGCAAATGAGCCATCCAAAACTCAACAATTCACGCGGCTTTTGCGGCGGCCGTCCGCATGCGGGTGGCACATCCGATCGGCGCATAGCGCCGCTCTGACTGCCGTATTGTGGCTCGTTTCCGCTGTGTTCTGCCGGCCGCTGAAAGGTCGCGCCTGTGTCGACAGATCCTGCGGCTGGACCCGCGCCACCGGGAGGTCGTGGAGGTGGTGGCCAACACCACGTCCGCTAGCGGCATCGACTACCACTACCAGCGCGGCATGCTCTTCTGGTCCGACGTCGACACGCGGAAGGTAACCGCGCGACTGAGCGAGGTCGTGTGCAGCTGACCCGGGCGGCGGAGCGTGTCTCGCTCTGACCGCGGACACGGGGGGGGGGGAGGTCTGGTTGGTCCCGCGGTGGTCCATGCTCCTTTCAGGCAGAGGGTTCGTGGTTGGCATGTGGTGGTTGTGACTTTCCAACTTACAGATGCTCCCAGGGCTTCCTCAGCCCAATGTCTACCGTTAGGCTCCTTCTCGTTGCGTGCGGTTTTCGGCCCCGCCCTGGGAACCTTTCAAGCACGTGCAGTCCGGCAGAACAGGGTTCGACTCGCAGCCAGCGACGACGTCGGATCTTCCACCCAGACAGCGATGGTCCCGAACGCTCATCGCAGGCCTCAGTGACCGCGAGCTTTCCTCCCGAAAGGCCTTGTGTGCTGCTCAGAGACACCGGCAGTTTTATGTGATCACAGACACTGTTGTCGTGCCTGTTGCCTGTTGTGGTCTGCCCACATCAGTTAACTCCTAATACGCCGGCGCTGTGGCGCGAGATCCCTGCCCCCCCCCCCCCCCCCACCCGCTCCCCTCAGCGGCTGCAGCCCGGGTCCCAGGATTATTTCTGGCGCGCGCGGTCTGCGGCCCGCCTTGTGACCCTTCCAAATGTCTCCGGTCGGGGCGCGGCACCTGTACGTCCGCCATTCGACACGACCCCATCCAGACACGGGAGCACGTCCTGTCGTGGCGTTGCCCTTTCGCGAGCTTACTTCTTCTCACTCGTTCGGTGCGCGCCACCCCGGCACCCATCATCTCGTGTGGGCGTGTGTCGGTCCGCACCACCCCGGGACCCATCGTCTCGTGTGGCCGTGTGTCGGTCCGCACCACCCCGGCACCCATCATCTCGCGTGGTCGTGTGTCGGTCCGCGGCACCCCGGCACCCATCATCTCGTGTGGCTGTGTCGGTCCGCGCTACCCCGGGACCCATCATCTCGTGTGGCCGTGTGTCGGTCCGCGCCACCCCGGGACCCATCATCTCGTGTGGCTGTATCGGTGTGCGCCACCCCGGGACCCATCATCTCATGTGGCTGTGTGTCGGCCCGCGCCACCCCGGGACCCATCATCTCGTGTGGCTGTGTCGGTCCGCGCCACCCCGGGACCCATCATCTCGTGTGGCCGTAGGACGGCGCGCCGGAGCCTGGCCGACCACGGTCGCGCAGCGGAGGTGCTGCCGGCGACAGGCGGCTGGCCGCTCCTGTTCTGATCGCCGCTCTCGAACGTGCCCGGACGGCCGGGGTCCGGGGCGCTGGGGCACGCGCCGCCGGAGCACGCGTCGGGCCCGCCCGGTCAGGACGCGTCCTCGTGGCCGGGCGGGCGGCGCCACCCACGGCGCCTACGGCCGCAAACCGGGGGAATACTCTGGCGTCAGGGCGTGACAGAGGTTGTGGTGAAATGATCGAGGCTTAGCTCGATCGGAGAGACATCAGCTATTTCCCTGGTCTGTTGCCCGAATGTCCGAAAGACTTGGCCAGGGAAGCAGGGAATACACTTCCTAAAATCGGTTGGGGGTTCAGCCAAAAAGGTTGATCTAACCTACCATAAAACCTTATTTCTTCTCGGATTCGGTGACTGGATTTCGCGTTCTCGATGTTGAATGAAAAACATATTTCGTTCAATATTTCGTAGATTGAAATTATTTTCCTGCGGTGGAATGATTTCCCATTTCCAGTTAATGTGAGCTGACTTTTGTGAAAAGCTTAGAATGAGGTGCAATTCACAAAACATCTAAGCCTTAGTAAGACATCTCTGCTGGTTACCGCTGTCTTTGGGGGTGTTTTACAACCACCACAGCCACGATTGTGCGACAAATACTCTTGCTGCTATTGGGAAAAGCGTGCGCTCACTCTTATCTGGGTCATCCTGTACTTATAATAGCCGTCGTATGCAACATTCCTTTGTGTCCGTGTCCTTTATCCCAATCCATCATACGGCCACCCTGTGCCGACGGACACAAGGTCTTTACCATTTGAGAAAGGAACTTGTGTCCTCGCCACCGTGTCCAGGTTGTGCCAAATATCACTCCTTACTTCCAATGCCAGCTCACCAGCCCGGGGCCGCACCAAAGCGTACCAGGAACTGCCGCGCTCTGCGCCGGGAATTGCCGCAGCTGGCATGCGAACGCGGCGGCCATTTGTTAGAGACATATGCGGACATGGACCGGCCAGGAACCGGCCCGCTGTTATCGAACATCAGAGGCTCACCTGCAGGAAGGCGTGTGCCCACAATAGATACTTTTTAGCGTGATGCAACATTTTGAAAGGTTGAAAGGCAAGGTGTTTTTATTGCTTCAAACATCACATCAGGCCCCTCGCGTACAGTTTGCTGTTGCAGAAGCATGCTCCGTCGCCCTGCGGATAGTAAGGCGCAACAATACTTAGCGTCTAGGGAGCGAACTTGTTTGTGACGTCATCCGTCCGCACAGGGTGGCCGTATAATCCCCTGGCGATGGTCGCCAGCACAAGATGGCTGCACACGGCCCAAGTCAGAATCTTTTCATCTAGGGATTTGGGCACAGTCCGACTCCATCCCAGTTCCCGGTAATTCTGTGGTTGCCTTTGTTGAGCATTCGTGGAAATTTCTCTGGCATGTTGTCTCGAAAGCACTCTCTCTCTCTCTCATGTTGGCTGGCATATTTATGGCCCGCTGCCCCAGGTTTTACCCGATAATTGATATGACGACGCGGCACGAACACCCTTTACAAACGTCTGCTCAAAAATATAATTGAGCGTATCGACCAATCGGAAATCGCTGTTGGCAACACAGGTCAGTAGTTGGATGACCCGGAACCGATCAATGCTTGCGCTGTTGCGCCCCATCCTCTGAGCTCGGAGGCCGCTCCAGCCAGGGCCGGCTCTGAATAATGTTGGATTGTGCTGATGCGGGTCCGCCGGCCATGTACCGGTCCGGCAGATGGACGCGTCCCTGAGCTGCCGCATTCCTCGCGTTCGGAGCGGTTCCGGTGGACGGCCGTGTGGCTGTGTTGTGTTTACCCAGCCGGCGCACCCCCAACTGGCGTTAAACGTTCCTCTGACCTCCTCCCCAGCCACGCCCCTGACCTAGGCTCCAGGGTTTGTGGCCCAGCTGTCTGCAGACAACGGGACCTCAGGTCAGCGGTGCAGACTCTGCGTCCGTGGCCTGCGGCCCAGTTGTGTGTGTGCGCTGGTCTCTGCACCGAGCTTGCGCATCCCTGACTTCTGACGCAGGCGTGTGCGTACGACCTTGACCTCCAACGTCGGCCCCGGGTGTGTGTGGCGTGCACCCCTGGCCCACACCCCCGATGAACACGCCCCCCTGCTGTCCCGCACAGGTGTACCGGAGTCGGCTGAACAAGGACCCGGGCACAGCCGTGCTCAACATCACCACCAGCACCACCTGGGCGCCCGTCTCCGTCGCCGTCGACTGGATCGGTGACAACATCTACGTGGCCGACATGATCGGCCAGAAGGTGGACGTGTTCGACATCGACGGCCGCTACCACGCCATCGTCATCGGCTACAACCTGACCAGTCCGCGCGACGTGGCGCTCGACCCTTCGCTCGGGTCAGTGGCGGCGCACCGGGGCACGCCGGGGGGGGGGGGGGGGGCGCTCGAGACCAGGCGGGGCGGCGCTCCAGACCTGAGCTGCACATGGGTGGCCGAGCAACCCGTCTGCCGTGAACTTTTGGGATGTTTCGCAACTCGGGGCTGAGTGCGTTTTTATACAGTCGAATTAGTGACGGGCTGTTCGTACGTCGTGGCGATAAGGTTATGTAATTGTAGATGTGACAGAGATGGCTGCGTGTTTTTGAGGCGCTGCATGATCGCCCAATCGCGTTCGCAGGCAGGACGTGACGCGTTAATCGGGACATGCTCACGCTGGGTCCTGTTCACGGCAGATACATGTTCATCGCGGACCAGGACCGGATCGTACGGGCAAACATGGACGGCACGGAGCTGCGAGCCCTGGTCTCGGACGCCATCTACAAGGCGTCTGGCGTCACGGTCGACATAATCAACAAGCGCATCTACTTCTGCGACTCCCTGCTCGACTACATAGAGACGGTCGACTACGACGGAGAGTACAGGTGCGCGACGCTGCTCGCGTCTCTGTATTCGGCGACGGCAGAAACTAACGTCACCAACTGACGTCACCGCGGTCCGCCGATCTGCGGGAGGAGGTGCATGACTCGCGCTTGGATATGCTCACTTGACTTATCCACGAGATGCGAACATTGTTGTACGCATGCCAAACGCTGTGACGTAGGAAACTTTGTATCATCTTCTACGTGTATACCCTAGCTCAACGGCGAATAGCCGGGCTGCCCAGCGCCATGGTCTTAGCTGGGGCGTCGATGGCCCGGCCACGTCCGATTGCGCGGCCGCCCGACACTTGTCGGCAGCACTTGACCAACTCACGGGTTCGGCAGGTTCCCCGTTCTGCGCGGCTCGACAAACGCGCCGGCGCCCAGCCGGCTGGCCACGTTCGAGCGTAACATCTACTGGACGGACGCCACGCGACAGGGCGTCATCGAGGTGGACAAGTTCAACGGCATCAGCTCCATCCGCAACGTGCACACGGACAAGGGCACCACCGGCGACCCGAAGGCCATCAAGGCCGTGCACCAGCTGCTGCAGCCGCAGTGTGAGTCGATCGGCCCCGTCCGGCCACGCGGCGGCCGCGGACGGGGCGAGCGGTTGGATGTGTCCGCGTGGGTGGCCACGAGCGGTTCCGCCCCGTTGTGGCGTCGAAGAGCGCGGTCTGCCTTTCAGTGTCTCGTACGTTGTGTCACTGTCGCCTGTGGCATTTGAGGCGTATCATCTGCATAACATTTCGTTGACTACAGCGGTCGCCATTAACCAGTATCATCAAATCGCATCGGGATTTTGGGATTTTAACATCGCGTCAAGTAGCCTGATTACCCCGCCCTGTTAGTGTTGGTGCTGCACAATCGCATGGTCGCATATGCCCCTTCCCCACTCGTGACCTCGGCCGGCCCGTTCCAGTGCCGAAGCCGTGCGGTGAGAGCAACGGCATGTGCGAGCATCTGTGCCTGCTGACCCGCAACACGGAGGGCACCGGCCTCGGCTACCGTTGCGGCTGCCAGGTCGGCTACTACCTGAGGGCGGACAAGATGGAGTGCGCCCCCGTCAAGGAGTTCCTCATGTACTCCCAGCAGAAGTTCATCAAAGGACAGGTGTGTGCTGGCTGGGTTTCGACTTGTGTCGTGTTCGGTTGGTGTGTTTGAGTGGTGTTCATCTTCGTTGTTTAGGATGTGTTCACATCGACTTGCTACGCATGGCGGTAACCAAGGAAGACTCAAGCGATCTGGAATGTGTAATCAAGGCGAATAGTCTTTTCCGGTCGTCATGTCTTAGATTAACTGGGCGCTTTGCTGCGTGTCAGTGCGCTGCTTTTAACTCTAGCAGTAGTCCATCATCAGAGTTTCCAGGTTTTCACTCATTGTACTCAATCAGAAGAACGCAGTCGTCGGAGGTAATGTAGGGACCGCCAGGTTACCCGACTTGCTAACGCGCTGGTCGGCGTGGTGCAGGTGCTGGAGCCGGTGGCGGTCAACATGAACGACGCCATGATGCCCATCGTGTCGCGCACGGCCCGCTTCGTCGGCCTCGACTTCGACTACCACGCCGAGAAGATCTACTACTCGGACGTGCTCCTCGACGTCATCTACCGCATCAACCTGGACGGCACCGGCCAGGAGAACGTGCTCGCCTCGCAGAACGAGGGCGTCGAGGGCCTGGCGCTCGACTGGATCTCGGGCAACCTCTACTACATCGACAGCCGGAAGGCCACGCTCAACGTCATCAACACGGGCGCCTCGCGGATCAGGCGCACGCTGCTGACGAACCTGGCGCGGCCGCGTGCCATCGCGGTCCACCCCAACAAGGGGTGAGTGGCCGGCGCGGCGTGTTCTAAGCCGTGTGTGTGGGGGGGGGGGGAGGGTGAGCGGCCGGCGGCGGCGCGCTCTAAGCCGTGTGTGTGTGTGTGAGGGGGGGGGGGGGTGAGTGGCCGGCGGCGGCGCACTCCGAGCCGTGGGGGGGGGGGGGGGGGCGACGGGAGGTGCGATATCACCACCTGGTCAAGGTTCGATCATTCTGTTGTGTGTCATAGACAACGTTTATGGCAGATCGGTTGATCATAAACTGGTCTCAATTACAGCTTGTTTTGCCAGTTTTTTACCCTCGGACCTGTGCATGGTTCAATATTTTCTAGGTTTCGTGGAGTGCCGTGGGACAGCCTTCACACAGCATTCAAAGTTGTCCAAGTGAAGCGTTTCGTCCACGCACACCCGTCAAAACTGGCAGACGCCGCTGTCGTGTTGACCGCTGCCGCTGGCGTGTCACAGGTACATCTTCTTCTCGGAGTGGGACCGACCGGCGAACATCAGCCGCGCGTACGCCGACGGAACTCACGTAGAGGTGTTCCGCAACGTGCTGCTCGGCTGGCCCAACGGCCTCAGCATCGACTACGACAGCGACCGGCTCTACTGGTGTGACGCGCTGCTGGACCACGTGCAGCACGCCAAGCTGGACGGCACGGACGTCAAGACCATCACGAGCCGGAACATCAAGCACCCATTCTCGCTGGTCATTTTCAAAGGTGAGTCACGTTTGTTCGGCCAGGGGCCGTAACGAACGGGGGGCGAGGCCCATTGTTCGAACCCTATCCGACAGTGGACCCGAGCTGAAGGGTCGGCTTCGAGCACTCATGCAATGGGTCCCATTATTTTTTTTATATTTTGCTGACTGCAACTTGCTTTTTGAAGTTCGTACAAACAAGCAATTTTAATAAAACCCTGATGGAATAGGTGGCTCCCGGCTCCTTAAGTATTGTCCTTGGAACATAATTTACGATAGGTTCATGCTTCTCGATGAAGAGAGCGAATGATGCCCGTATAGCTGCGCTCTCCTGCCAGGTCTTAAATTCACTGAAAAGTAAAGGGCACTGGCTTCTCATCAGTCTCTCCTCTGGCAAGTGTACGATGATATTGGCACGAGCTCGTAGGAATAATTCAAGTTAGTATGTCAAAGTTTTGACGGAATCTACACGCATGAAACATGTGCATGAATTATGGACAAAACGCTCTTCTCATTTTCGTAGCGCATGAGCATCACGGCCCTCGTTTTATGGGCTAGATATACTGTAACTGCATCAGGTTTCACCGGACAGCTGGCCTCATTTACGATAGAGAGTCCACCACCACAAAGCGCCGCGAATCGATCCGACCCTACGACATCCTGACGAATGTAACGGAATCAAGACCAGCAACACGGCAGTAGCGTTTGGTACGCCGGATCGACTCGTCCTCTTGTAAGCATGGGATCGATGCTGAGTGCGCCTGCGGGCCGGCTGAAGCTCCGCGACGAGCTGTGCGCTATCTGCCGGCAGCCGCGCGCCAGGCAGGGTGACCACCGGGGCGTGGCTCTGCCCTGCGGCCATGGCTTTGGCCACAGCTGCATCACGCGCCGGCTGCGCGCCGGCCCGGCCCGCTGCCCTCAGTGCGGCGCGCGGGCAGCGGTGTCGCAGCTGCGGCCGGCACTCGGGGCTCGCTCCTCCGACACCGCCGAGGACGGCGACAAAGCCGAGTCGGACGAGGCGCGCCGCGAACGGGAGGAACTGCGCCGGGAGCGCACTGAGCGCCGCCGGCTCGAGAAGGACCTGGTGGAGACGCGCCAGCGGCTGCAGAAGAGGGACAACACGGTGAAGATGCTGCAGGGAGAGCTGCGCAAGCTGCAACGCAAAGTGCGCCTGGAGGAGTCCGACTACGACGGTGACTCGAACCGCTCCTGGACGCCGCGCGCCCATGACCAGGGCGACGCCACCGACTGACCTAGCCCCTCGTGCAGCTGCCAGTATTGGACCCAAGGGCAGGTGGAAACATCACCCAGCGGACTAGGGAAGGGTTGTTTGTGGACCAGGGAATGCGTCGTGAAGAATGGTCGATCTAAAGTGGGCAGTCATTTGTGTTCGAAGATACCCTGCGAGACTTGAACCAAAATGAAACATGAAAAACATTTGTTGATCGAACGGTGATGATGCTCGAAGAGAATTACGGGACAAGATGGAGAAGGCAGAGATTTGACACCATCATGGAATAGTCTTCCTTGCAATGGATGGTTTCCTGTGCGTTTCAAATATACGCTGTGAGATGGGATAAATATAGCTTTACGACGAACCGGAATCCTCTGATCGTGCGTTATTATTTTTAGACAAACTCGTGGACATTTCGTAACATGTGAAACTAAGATCGCGGTGTCATGGACACGCTTGCACTGTTGCTAAGAAATATGAGCAGCGTTATATTGACGCTGCCCTCAGTTTCCAAATCTTTGTCAGTAACAAATATTTGGGAACTGATGCTTTCAGCATTTTTGTTGATGCGGTCAACTGATGATGCGCATGAAGCGCGCTGTTGATATTAGGAAGCATGAACTATGACCAATTAGGGAAATATGATCAATGGTAATTAAAAATAGACACGAAGTTACATAACACGAAATCGACGCGCATACTTGGAAAAAAGCGTTCTTAATTGACATGCACAGGAGTGGCAGCGGATTACAACCTAATAGGGCTATCAAAGCTCCGATGCATCAATTCCATGCAGACGAGTATACAGCCTTCATCTTTGTCGACCTTCACGGTCGCGGAAACTACTTTTCCCGAGACAAAAATGACGTAAGCCTCACGTTTGGCGGGATGGCTGCGGGTCGGAGACCTTGATGCCTGCGCGCCCCCGCGCCGCCGTCGGCGCTGGTTTGAGCGCTATGTGCACGTTCCAGAGCACCTGTACGTGACGGACTGGCGACTGGATGCCATCGTGCGGCTCAACAAGCTGAGCGGTGCCGACGAGACCATTGTGGCGCGCGTCCAGGAGTCCAACCGCCTGTTCGGCATCAAGGTGTATGCGCGCGACATTCAGAAGGTAACTCACGTGTCTAACGCCACCTGTTGGTGCGGTAAATAGAGCTTGCAATGCTACGTGCAGTTGCTGTGCTGCTGCGTAAGGTTTTGGAAAGGAAATGGAAATGTCACGCGAGGAAATTTTAGTTCATCGGCATGTCGCGTCCCAACTTGTCCATGCGGCGATTTTGTGGAAGTCACACATGAATGGCACGCCAGGCACGCATTATCCTTGTCAGCTGCGCCGGTGATGGGTGCACCTGTCACGTGCCGCTATCGGCCGTCGTCACTGCCGTCGGCGCTCGGCCCTGTCCATGTCGCGGGCCGCCGGACCGTACCCCGTCGCCCTCTCTTCAGATCGACCCGGACCACCCGTGCCGCGAGGACAACGGCGGCTGCGAGAGATTCTGCTTCCCGATCCCGTCCAACGAGACGACGAGCGGCCTGGTGGCGCGCTGCGACTGCCCGTACGGCATGAAGCTGCGCTCCGACCTCCGCCGCTGCGAGGACGCGCCCGACGCCGAGCCACCGCTCGAGGCCTGCCCCAACAGCTGGGACTTCACGTGCGCCAACCAGCGCTGCATCCCCAAGCCGTGGGTGTGCGACGGCGACGACGACTGCCTGGACAACTCGGACGAGGAGCAGAACTGCACCAAGCCCACCTGCCTGGCCGAGGAGTTCGCCTGCGCGTCGGGCCGCTGCATGCCGCTCTCGTTCAAGTGCGACTCGGACAACGACTGCGGCGACTTCAGCGACGAGACGGGCTGCGTCAACGTCACGTGCGACGAGCACGAGTTCAAGTGCAACAACGGCCGCTGCATCCCGAAGGCGTGGAAGTGCGACTCTGAGGACGACTGCGAGGACGGCTCGGACGAGGATGACTTCTGCGACGAGAAGACGTGCACCTACTACCAGTTCAGCTGCCCGTCCGGCCACTGCGTGCCGCAGTCGTGGGTGTGCGACGGCGACAACGACTGCCTGGACAACAAGGACGAGGAGGGCTGCCCGCCCGTCACCTGCTCGGCCAACCAGTTCAAATGTGCCAACCTGAAGCAGTGTGTGCATGAGTCGTTCAAGTGCGACGGTATCCCTGACTGCCTGGACGGCAGTGAGGAGGAGGGGTGCCCGACCCTCTCCCCGGACAGCTGCAACCCGGACAAGCAGTTCAGGTACGACCACACCGGCGCCGAAACCAAGCCGAAGATGGCTACTTCGAAGTGTGCTAGGGAGGGACGTTCTGGGGTTTAGTGCGTGTTCTGCTTCGCTGTAAATTGCATTGTTTAGACAACACGAACTATTAAGTCGGCTTCAGACATTCGGTTGACATGCACGGATGTTGTTCACGATGCCGCTTCATGTCCAAAAACGAGTCTGTATTCCATTCAGCCGTGTTTTTATATCTGGTGAGGCTGGGGAGTGTCGCTGTGTACGCTCACCGTCGCCACACCGAACTCTCCCGTCCAGGTGCGAGAAGTCTGGCATCTGCATCCCAAAGACCTGGTACTGCGACGGCAACGCAGACTGCCTGGACAAGTCTGACGAACCAGACTCGTGCGGCCAGATCGAGTGCCGACCCAGCTTCTTCAAATGTAAGCCGGTCGTCAATCGAGCGCCAGAGAGCCAGTGAAGGGTGTCATCTTAGCTCACTTCTGACACAAGCCGGCCGCCAACCGACGACGACACTGGCGGCAAAGCGTGTCGTCTTAGCTCACTACTGGCAGCGATGTCGAAAAATTTGTATCTTGATCTTACGACTTGTCTCTAAACATGGACAATTTTCTTTACTGAGATTTGCCTTTAATCAAGCTTCATATCAATGAGGCACAAGCTCTCACGCTGTAGTTCTGCGCTCTGGCCGTTTTTTGCGTGATTTCTGTGCGTTTGCGACTTAACGCGTCGCTTATCATGCCTGGGGCCCGTTCTCTGGCAGGTAACAATACCAACTGCGTGTACAACGGCTTGGTTTGCAACGGGGAGGACGACTGCGGTGACGGCAGCGACGAGGACACGATGCACGCCTGCAAGAAGCCGCCCATTACGTACGTAACTGGGCGAGCCGCGGCTGCAGATAAATCGCTCGACAGTAAGGCAGGATTTACTGGTCAAGAGGATTGCGATTTGTCGAGAAAACTGGTTTGTGTGAAAAAGAAAAGGCTTGCTGCCTGGCGAGATTTAGTAATTTTTACATGAACTCGTTTGTTGTAAGCAAGCCCGTCGTTCGTGATGCTAAGAATGTTGAAAACGAAAGAGCTCGGGGTTTTCCACGACACTTGCAGCAGTCAAAACAACTCCCTGTTGTTGTTATTTTTACCTGCGCAAATAATACCGTTGAGTCGAGTCAGCCCATCGGTGGCTTCTGAGACCTGCCGCGGCACATGTCCTCACCACAGTAACGCCTTTGATACACGCGACCCTCCACGGTCGCGCTCCGTTCTGCCCGGCGCCCTGACCGTCCCCTCCCCCGCCTCCCCCAGCTGTGCCTGGGACGAGTGGCGCTGCCCGAACGTGACGGACCGGTGCGTGCCGCGCGCCGCCGTCTGCAACGGCAAGCCCGACTGTCCGAACGGCGCCGACGAGGGCGTCGGCTGTGACCTGGCCGAGTGCACGGACGCCAAGACGGAGATGTGCAACGAGGGCTGCCTGCAGACGCCGACCGGCGCCGTGTGTCTGTGCGGCCGCGGCCAGCAGCTGAGCGGCGACACCGAGTGCGTCGACATCGACGAGTGCGCCGAGGCGGGCCGCTGCTCGCAGACGTGCAACAACACCAAGGGCGCCTTCTTCTGCGGCTGCCAGCCCGGCTACAAGCTGGAGGCCGACAAGCACACTTGCAAGCCGACGAGTGAGTGTGACCGACGTGTGAGCTGTGGACTTCAAGAGGCGTGAGGGGAGGGGGTGCGCTGGAGCTAATGGAGGATTCGCTCAATTTGTGACGAATGATAAGCTGTGATGCGAATCTAGTAAGCCCAAAAGATCAGTTGGATGATCGGCTCAAGTTGTGGCTCATGGTTAGCCGCGGTTGTTACCCAAAGCGTGCAAAAGATGACCAACGAGCGTTAACTTCAGTGGTTGTTGTCCCAATCCGAGTTAAAGTTACGAGTACCGTGGCATTTACAACACCGGCATACAAACATAAACAGCAAGCAACGTTCATTTACACCCATCCAGGGGTGTAATGGCCGAGTGGTCAGCACCTTCGGCTTCCACGTGGGGGCCCGGGTTCGAATCCCTTTGGAGCTATGGCCCTTGAGCTCTATGTGATTAACGTGGTTCCTGCAGTTGGTGGTGCTCCACAAAAGGGTGCCGACAGCGTGCGTTCCTTGAAAATGTTGGTTTCCTCTTCCATCTCGGTGACGATATGCTTTGACACGCCCGCAGGCGAGGACGAGGCGATGCTGATCATCTCCAACCGTCGCTCCATCCTGGTCTCCAACATCAACGAGACATCGGTGGAGCGCCTGCCCGTGTCCGTGGAGAACGTCGTGGCCACCATCTCGGACATGAAGAACAACATCATATACTGGTCTGACATGAAGGTCAAGAAGATCATGCGCCTGGAGAAGGGCGGACAGCCGCAGGAGGTGAGGCGCGCGCGAGGACTCGGACTCGGACCGCCGCCTCGCGCCACGCTGACCTCCGTGCCGGCCGTGTCAGGTGTTGATGATCTCGTACCCCGGGCGCGAGTCTTGGCTAGATTTAGCGAATAGCTGCCGGTTGTGTGAGTGATGTGACGTCGAAGGGCTTTAATTACCAATGCAAATGGTTCTAGCGCTACAACAATTGCTTGTATATAATTGAGCTATTAATCGACCACATTTGTGGCATAGTTCGGTTAGTATTAGTATGGTATACGACAGTCACGTTGTTCTATTCACGCGCACATTACCATCTCAGTAATGGACGCGAGAACTAGGCCCTTCTAAATCAAGGTCCAAGGGGTAGGCGGAGTGGTAGGTGGTGGGTTTGAGCATCCCTAACTAACTGACCTGGTCCACGGTAGGCTCACTACACAGTGATAGCAGTATCTCAGTGACAGTGATTGCAGTTTATCGACGACAGCTCACATGCCACAGATAGCGTATGGACGTTTACAGCGTCCACCAGAGGTCCGGTGTCGTCCGACATGTTCTCACTGCCGCTCGTGCCCCGGCCGACAGGTCATCAGCAGCGGCCTGGACCTGGTGGAGGGCCTCGCCTTCGACTGGGTCACCGGCAACCTCTACTGGGTGGACTCTCGGCTCAGCGTGATCGAGGTGGCCAACAAGAACGCCTCCAGTCGCATCACGCTCATCAACCGCGACGTGGACCAGCTGCGTGGCCTGGCGCTAGACCCTGACAAGAGGTGAGCGCCGTCAGCAGCCCCCGGCGGCCGGCCCCGGCCGGTCGCCGCCGGATGTGTGGCCGGGGGCCCGGCTGGCGCCGTACCGCTCATGGCAACGGCGCTAGGATGGACGATGGCGCCGTCAGCAGCCCCCGACGGCCGGCTCCGCGCCGTGCCGCTCACGGCAACGGCGCTAGGATGGAAGATGGTGCGGTCAGCAGCCCCCGAAGCCGGCCCCGGCCGGTCGCCGCCGGATGTGTGGCCGGAGGCCCGGCTGGCGCCGTGCCGCTCACGGCAGCGGCGCTAGGATGGTCGATGGTACAGGGTAGATGTGGCGTTAAGTCTGACTCCTGCGAAGCCAAGCGCCCGCGATGTCGCCACGGTGTTTGCCGGTGTGGACAGGCTTTCTAAGTGATTTGCGTCGTAGGAAGAGCAGCAGGTGGTCGAGTGACTGCCAGTGGGCGACAGCAGGACGTAGATTCGATAAGGGCGTTCTGCTAATGCCACCAGGACGGCACCCCGCTGTTTCAGTTTCCATGGCTCGGTCGTTTTGTTGTGCTGGTCCACTCCGGACCTGAACTCTATTGTCTGTTCGGCAGCGCCCGTTTCCTGTTCTGGTCGGACTGGGGCACGCGGCCTCGCATCGAGCGCGCTGGCCTGGACGGCTCCGATCGTAAGACCATCATCAGCTCCAAGATCTACTGGCCGAACGGCCTCACGCTTGACATCCCCAACAAGCGGGTCTACTTCGCCGACAGCAAGCTGGACTACATCGACTTCTGCAAATACGACGGGACGGGACGACAGCAGGTGCGTGGTGTCTGCTGGGCCTGGGATGCCGTCTTCAGACGCTCCCGCCTCTACAGGTTTTTGGGGTGGTCACTGCCTCATTGGACGTGGCTGACGCCGTTCTTATGTTTGCGTCTTCCACCGCTGGCTCCAGTGCCGGGCGCTGGCTGATTTGAACAGTTCTCATCTTCCTGCCCCTTTTGTGCCGACGCTCTGTAACAGGTAGACACTGTCGCTGCAGACTCCCGACTGGCGCACACTTTCGCCTGTGCCTAGCCGGCCACGCATACTTGTATTCTTACTTCAGTTTGCCACACAGCTCAGAGTTCCTTCTGTATCCCGTCAGTGGCACGGCGTCTAGCGGGACGATTCCGGCTTAGCTGTGAGGTGTTGACAGTGCCCTTCCCACCGGAGCGCCGTCGCCCTCCGCACCCGGTCAGCGGCAGGGGGCGCGGCGTTCGCCGCCGCATCCCAGCCTCCTCCGCCAGCCCCCTCTAACTGGTCCGCCGGCGTCGCCGCCAGGTGCTGGCGAGCAGCCACTACCTGCTGCACCCGCACAGCATCGCCGTGTTCCTGGATACGGTGTACTGGACGGACCGGCAGCTGAACCGTGTGCTCTCGGCGCACAAGTACAGCGGCCACAACCAGTCGGTGGTGACGCACCTGGTCTCGCAGCCGCTCAGCATCCACATCTCGCACGCGGTGCTGCAGCCGAGCGCGCCCGACCCGTGCGCGGACGCCAGCTGCCAGCACATGTGCCTGCTGGCACCCGGAGAGCCCGGCTTCGCCTGCAAGTGCCGGCCCGGCTACCGGCTGGCCGACGGTGGCCAGCGCTGCATTGTCGGTGAGACTGGCGGCCCCGCCGGGGCTGGGGGAGGCCACAGGCGGGAGCGGAGCGCGCTGGCGGTGGGGGTGGGGTGGGGTGGGGGAGGGCGGCGAGACGGGGTGCGGAGTGAGCGGCGGGGTGGGGGCCTGGAGGTCGACGGGGCGGAGGGGAACGGATGGCGGAAATGCGAGAGAACACCGCCAGGAGAGAGAGAGAGGGAACAACGCTGCGGCGGTCAGGAGGCACCCGTAGCTGTGATCTTCCTGGCACCGCGCGAGAGCTGGGCATTGTTGGTCAGCCGCACAAAAACTCCCTACCCCCTATGTTAGCAATGAGTGCCTACAATGTGGTGACTGACAGACTTGAATCCACCTCAAACTCCCCGAGCTTTCTCCAGCCCTGGACCATTGTGCGCCACCCGGGCTCCACCTCCTGACCTCGACGCTGACCTGACCGCGACCCGACGCTGCCTCGCCTCCCCCGACACCTCCCGCAAGCGGTACTGACCGTCGCTCGCGCTGCGGCAGAGGAGCGCGCCTTCCTGCTGCTCATGGCCGGCAATCGGGTGACGGATTTGTCGCTGACGCCGGAGCAGCCGCGCACCGGCCTGCTGACGCCCATCATCGGCGTCGACAGCGCCACCAGCCTCGACTTCAACCACCAGTCGCAGACCGTCTACTGGGTCGGCATGACCGAGACCGGCATCGGTGGGGCCGACGAGAATGTGAGTGGCGCGGATGAGGCTCGCGGAGGTCAGGGGTCTCGGCACCGAGTGTAAAGGGCGAGGAGTTAGAGATGCGCAGTGCGGATTTGTTGGCGCGGTTGCGGGGCTTAGGTACGCGCGAAAGTCTGCCTTGGGGAAATGATCTTTTACGATTGTGTTTTCCGTAGGTGGACGTGAATGTGCAGCTCGTAATTACAGGAGCATCCCCGAAGTCTTAAGACTAAAACTCGTTTATTTTTGAGAAAAAAAACATAAGTCGTGCGCCTTCGCCCCATACCGCGCCGTGCCGAGATGTCGGTCCAATCACGTGCGTCCAGCTGGCGGGAGCAGGCGCGTGTAACGGTCCGTCTGCGCGCTCCCAGGGCACCATCTACAGCCGGTCCGTGGCCGGCGGCAACGTGACCGAGTTCCTGGTGAACGGCATCATCGGCACGCCGCACGCCATCGCCTACGACTGGGTCGGCGGCAACATGTACATCGGCAACCAGCTGGTCTCCAACATAGAGGTGGTCAGCGCGCAGAGCAAGAGCCGCTACCGCAAGATAGTGCTGGGCAACAATGGCACGGCAGAAGGCGTCGGCAAGCCGGTAGCCATCGTGCTGGACCCGTCCGAAGGGTGAGGCTGCTCTCACAAGGGCTGGTCCGGCTTGGTGGATTTGTCATTTGGGGGGCAGTTTCCGAAACCAATATTTTGCTCCTTGAAGCCCATCGGTTCTACTAAAGTATTGTGCTGTCTTGGCATTACGGAGCAAATTGTGCTTGTTTGATTTGACCTGCTTGCCATGGATGACATACAATTACGAGTTGGTGTTCTGCGAGTTCCACGCAAGGATCAAGTGACTTAGATTTGTTTAGTTGACCATGTAAACCAGGCAGGGTGCAACCCGTGAGGCGTTTGAGCTCGATTGTGCGGTCAGTAGGGCGAAAACGCCCTCCTATTTCTGCCTGATCAGCCCGTCCACCTGATGCGCACATGTCTCTGTCGCTGGTGATCGAGGCTCAGCCAGCTGTACCACTGCCGCGCTGCTGAGGTGTGACGTGTCTGGCCGGCGGGCACGGACTCCCGGCCCTGACCGTGACGCGCGGCGGCCCGCAGCAAGCTGTACTGGGCCGACTCCGGCGGCGTCGGCGTGCCTCCCAAGATAGGCAAGGCCAACATGGACGGCACCGCCCTGCAGCTGCTCATCAAGGACGTGACTCACCCGCTCTCGCTGGCCATCGACATCGAGACCAAAGTCATCTACTGGAGCACAGAGAACCAGCCTTTCGTGAGTGGGCTCTCGCGGTCATGTTTTGTGTGGGTGTTTTATGCTCTCCCTACTCAAATGACCGCACCTTCCCTGATTGGTTCCGTGTGTTATCTTGCAGCTGTGCACTCCTCGCTGCTTCAGAAACATAGAGCGGCAAGGACAGCTTCGCTGGCAAGGTGTCGGCCTTGAACTGCTCTAGATCTGAATCCAGTCCAAATACCCGCATACATAGAAATGGTCTATACGGCTGTACACTGTATGTGGCCAGACTTGTCTGTGCATGGTCCGTCTGGTTGCAATATTATTCCAGTTCGCATCTGGGTCATTATCCCTGACTTGGAAACGATTCTGCCGACTATGCGAGCTTCCATTGCACCTGAAGTAGACCTGATCACCATGCACCGGTAAACAGCGGGTCACCATCAGTGTCCACGTGGCTGCGGACCCCCCGCCTGGCCCGGCTCAGGCAGCGCGGCCCCCCTGTGTTGCAGATCAAGAGTGCCGGGGTGGACGGCTCGAACGTGAAGACCCTGCTGGACGCCGGGCGGGGCATCGCCAAGCCGCGCAGCATCGCCATCTACGAGCAGCGTACGTGCTCGTGCGGCTGGGTGTCCTGAGGCGCCGCTGCCTCGTGCCCAGCCAGCAGTGCTCGGGCGCGGGGGGTCCAGGGACCATGGTATTGTGTGCTGTGTGTGTGGTGTTCAGTGCTTGTTGCTTCTTACTTCAGCGTTTGAGCTTCACGCTGTTCGCTGTTTATAGCATGCTGCTCACTGTTCCTCGTGTTGAGTGTGTTATGCGTTCGTTCGTGTCTTCGTTTGTCATCACTTTGGCTTTTTGTTGAGCAGTACTACCTGATTTTGGCATATTCGACGTGTCAACCCGTGTTTACTTAGTCGTCCTCGTCGCCTGCAGGACTATACTACTTGGATTCAGCGTATGAACAGGTGGCCCGGCTGGACCTGCCGGAGGGAGACAACCGGATTATCCTGATGAACAACACCGAGGCGCTCAAGGAGCTCAAGGTCTTCTCCAAACGGCCAGGTAGGAGGCCAGCTTAGTGGTGTGGGCAGTCAAAAATAGTGTTGAAGTAATCCATTGTTTTCTCGGAAGTACCAAGCGAACATATAGCATAGCAACCAACCTGTTTCATTAGCGCATATTAAATATTTAGATAATTTAATACGCATTAAATATTTGATTGATGTTCTGCTCCCAATCAATACGTCTCGTCGATTATGGCGCAAAACACGATACCACCGCGTCTCTTCTTCCTCTCGATGGCATACGGCCATGAATGATGCACCAACGTCTACATTTGGGAACGAGGCAGGCTGTCAGACTGTGCGATCATGTCGGGAGAATATTGCGATAGTTCGGGCCCTGTCAGCAGCCCCTGAGCCGTCACGCACCATCGCCGGCCGCTCACGCCGCGCACCCTTGACCCGCAGTGACCAGCAACCACCCGTGCCGGAGCAGCAACGGCGGCTGCCAGCACCTCTGCATCCCGGCCAGCGAGGGCGGCCGCGTCTGCGCATGCGCCGTCGGCTACCGGCAGGAGGGGGCGCTGCACTGCTCGGCGTACGACTCGTTCGCCATCGTCAGCCAGCTGGACATCGTTAGGGGCTTCAGTCTCACAGATCACAACGAGGCGATGACCCCTATTGCCGGACCGGGTGCGTGTTGCCAGATGATGACGACGCACACTTCACGTTGCTCATTGGATACATATATTTGTTCGGACCATAGGAATTGAATGATGACATTTAGATAGCATCACCATGTGAGTGCCCTTATAATGAGCTGAGCTTGATGCATGAAAACATAGTCGTATCTTGGCAGTTATTGGGATTTAAAGACATATGGACAGTCCAGGTAATTTGGCGTACACAACGAAAAAAATGGTAAACACGCCAGTCGTTATCCACTTGCATAGCGTGAAGACGTGCCGACGGACCTTGGCGCTTGACTGCGCGTACCTTGTTTGAAGGTCACAACGTGCTCCACGTTGACGTGCTGGTGAAGTACAACTACATCTACTGGGTGGAGTTCAACCTGCTGGGAAAGAACGGCATCTACCGCGCGAGACCCAACGGTGAGTTGGTTCTCGGGCCGTCTGGCCGTGCCTTAACTCCTGACATGCGGGCATTTTTGGTTGCGAATCGAGTGAGCGACACTCGGGAGTGTGCGGGAGAGTTTTTCGCTGGACCATGCCAACGAGCCCAGCCGCGCCCGGTGTTGGATTTATCGAGTGTTGTCGGCCAGGCACGGATCTGGAGGCGGTGGTGTCGATGGCCTATCGAACGTTGTCGGCCAGGCACGGATCTAGAGGCGGTGGTGTCGAGGACTTATGGAATATTGTTGGCTGGGCACGCATCTGGAGGCGGTGGTGTCGAGGACTTATCAAATGTTGTCGGCTGGGCATGGACCTGGAGGCGGTGGTGTCGAGGACTAATCGAATGTTGTCGGCCAGGCACGGATCTGGAGGCGGTGGTGTCGACCGGCGTTGGATCGAACGGCATCCGTGGCATCGCCGTCGACTGGATCGGCGGCAACCTGTACTTCGCCAACTCGTTCCCCCACGAGACGTTCCTGGAGGTGTGCTGGCAGGACGGCAAGCATCGCATGGTGCTCATGAAGACCACCAAGGACTCGCCGAAGGAGATTGCCGTCAACCCCATCAAACGGTACGGATGTGGTAAAACCACAATATATATGGTGACCGGCTGGCAAAACTGTAGATCGGCCTGCAGGCGAAAGGTACTAACAAAACTGTTTTTCTCGATTATGGTGTACCGGTTCAAGTCCTTGCAGGTGCAAAGTGGTGTTGACTTTCCATGAAATGCTGACTGCCAAGGGGCACGCCGTGCACGCGACATCTCGCCGAGGTTTGGCCCTCGTCGATGGTTGTATCCCAGGGCGCCCGGCACCGGAAGCCTGTAGCGTGCAGCCTCGTGCGTGTCTCTGGTGGTCTCGGCTGGCTTACGCCGCGTGGGGCGACACTGACCCGAGGTTGCTTCCTCCGCAGCTACCTGTACTGGATCGACTACGGGCAGAACCCGAAGGTGGCCCGAGCCAGGCTGGACGGCAGCGAGCCGGAGGCTATCGTCACGAGTGGTGAGCCTGGGGCGAGGCCGCTCGGAACACGACGGTCAAAGGACGCTCGCACTGGCTCGGACGGTGTCCTCGAACGTCACACCGGTGTCGAGTGATCTGGAGTCTTTCATGAGGCGATCGGTTGATCAGGGCGAAGACTGTTAGCTGGAGTGAAGACACAGCGCTCGCCCTTTGACGATAGAGCAGCGTACAGGTTATTGGTGTAGTGGACCTTGAGCCCGCCGTTTCCCAGTGTAGCGCTTATCTCTGATGGTTGGCACGACACGGTGACCACGTCTCTGATTCACGCCTCTGACCCATGTTTTGACCCGCTTATCTATCCCACGTCCGTGACCCAAGTCTCTGACCCAGGTCTCTGACCCTGTAATTGACCCGTCGTCGGCGTTCGCAGGCATCAGCCAGCCGCGAGACCTGACCATCGACATGCTGACGCACGACATCTTCTTCGCCGACTCGAACATGGACGCCATCATGAAGGTGGACTACATGGGCAAGAGCCGCCAGATGATCCGCCGCAACCTGCCCAACCCGGTCGGCCTGGCCGTGCACCTGGGCAACCTCTACTGGGTCGACCGCAACCTGGGCTCCGTGTTCCGCGCCTCCAAGCTGGCCAGCAACACGACGGCGCCGCAGATCCTCAAGTCGGGCCTGGAGAGGCTGCGCGACATCACCGTGTTCGACGCCCAGAACCAGCCCCGTGGGCAAACGCCCTGCACGGGCGCCGGCTGTGAACAGCTCTGCTTCGCGCTGGCCGCCGGCGAAGGCAACCTGCTCAACGGCGGCTACAAGTGCGCATGCGCCACCGGCACGCTGGCGGACGACAAGCGCCGCTGCGTGAAGAGCGAGGACTACCTCATCTTCACGACGCGGACCGAGATCCACAGCGTGCACATGGACCCGAGGGTCAACAGTCTGCCGTTCGAGCCCATTGTGAGTGGATGTGGCAGCTGTGCGTGGTGTGTGAGTCAGTAAGTTGCGCTGGTGTGGTTCGGTTGCGTGAAATTTGCGGCGGCTGGGGCCGCTTTGCGATCGCAGGCCTGGATGCCCGCGAAACCTGGAGTCGTGATAATTTGTCTTCAATTTATTATTCGTTTCCAAGCTTCAAACTCAATCAGCGGTTACAGCCGGCAACCTTAAGACATTTCTGCACAGTTCTCGCAAACACTTGTAATTATTTGTACTACCATATGGATATCTAGCTCCTGGGCTCCATTGTTGCGCGCTTGAAGCACCAGTCTTCAACCCTCTCCGACGTGTTCTTCAGACTAACTTCACGAACGTGGTGAACATCGACACGGACGTGGCGGACCGGCGCCTGCTGTTCACCGAGGTCAGCCCGCCGGACCGCATCGGCTGGCTCTCCATGGATGTGCTACGCGCCGACAACGGCACCACCATCATCTCGGTGAGGCGGCCGCGGCGGGGTCTGATCCGCTGCGGCGCCGATCGGATCGGATCGGATCGGATCGGATCGGATCGGATCGGATCGGATCGGATCGGATCGGATCGGATCGGATGGTCCGGGCCGGGCCGGGCTTTACTGGTTCTGGGTCGAGCTGTGTGGAACGATGCTACGAACGTGCGCACTTCAACATCACTTCGCGCGCCGTTCACAGGAATCATTCAGTTCAGTTTTGATTCGCAAGGCGATTTTCATCGGGATATGCGCGCGAAGCCAAGTCGCTTATGTGACGTATCTAATGCCTGGCCGTTTAAAACGGTGTAGGAGCGTAGCTCCGTCGCATAAAGCCATGCCCAGACCCCGCATAAGACCAGCTGCAATTCTGGGCGTAATTGTGAGCGTAGACCAGCTGTAATTCTGTAATTCATGTCCGTCCCTGCGCGCTCTCTGACCTGACACCACATCCGTCCGTGCACGCTCTGTGACCTGACTCCACGCCGCGTCCGTCCGTGCTCTCTGACCTGACGCCACGTCCGTCCGTGCGCGCCCTCTGACCTGACACCACGTCCGTCCGTGCGCGCGCAGGGCGAGAAGTCGGCCATGGACCCGACCGGCATCGCGTACGATTGGATCGGGAAGAAGGTGTACTGGGCCGACTCGCGCAACCACTCGATCTATGCCATGAACCTGGACGGCTCGCACGTGGTCATGCTGGCCAACGTGGAGAGGCCACGTTCTCTCGTGCTCGACCCCTGCAAGGGCTACATGTACTTCATCGACTGGAACAGGTAGGTGCCGGAGGCTGCTTGGCTTTGGCCTAGTGTCGCTTCGTGAGGTGCGCAGGCGGTGCTCAGGGCTATTCGGGCTTGTGGTGGGTTTGGGGATTACGGATAGCTGACGATTTGGCCTGTTGGGTCGTAGTTTCAACCGATGCAGCTTCTGTATATCTCGTTTAGGACTTGCCGCGTCGAACGCGACAACGTGCTATGTGGTACCAAGTATAAGTTATGGCGGATTTTGAGCGTGCGTTACCTGGCACTGCCAGGCTACCGGTAACTGTCAAGCGTCGCTTCACAGGTAAAGGTTTGCTCCGCCGTATTCTGAGCTTTGGTCGGCTCCCTCGAAGATCCGTTACCGTCGCGGGGACCGTGCTCCGTCGCTGGGCGTCTCTGTCGCCACGCGAGGGCGGTACTGGGCCCGCCTCTGACCGCCGCCCTCGCCGCCAGGTACGGCTCGCGCGCCAAGATATTCCGCTCGACGATGGCTGGCTCGTTCAAGACGGCGATCGTGGAGGCGAACCTGACGCAGCCCTCCGGTCTGGCGCTGGACCGCCCCGCCCAGAAGATCTACTGGACAGACCTGCTGCGGGAGAAGATCGAGCGCGCCAGCGTGGACGGCACGAACCGAGAGGTACTCCAGAGGGCTTGGCGGCGGCGGCGAGGTAGCACGGCTCAGGCGTTCCGTGTGGGCGGGAACGCTCTGGGTGGTGTGACAAGTCTTCATCGGGGTGGTATGCTGGCATCCCACGGCATCCTGGGAGGATTGTCTGTCATAGTCAATGTCTGCTCGCATGTGTGCTCGGGTGCCCGTCCGATTGCTGTCGTCTTGAACCGGCGCAATCTTCACTGCTGGCTTTGATGCCATCTGCCCATTTGGAGCGCATGGCGTCAATTAGCCCGCGGTCGCATCTGTGCCTGTGCTTGGACTACCTCGTTCAGCGTCGTCATGCGCGCGCACCGGCCAGAAGCGGACACGAACTAAGCCGGTCGGTTTTCAGGTGCTGATCGCGGCCACGCTGTTCCCGTACGGCATAGCAGTGCACGGTAACTTCATCTATTGGACAGACCTGCAGCTGCGCGGCGTCTACCGCGCAGAGAAGCACACAGGAGCCAATACGGAGGTGAGGTTCCGTCAGCAGGAGTGGCCAGCGGCCGTAGTCATGGGCGTGACTGTGGCTGAGCTGCAAAAGATGTGACAATAAATGCACAGCTGAAATGGCTTGAGTGTGCCCCTTGAGATTCGTAGAGTATGCCAGTAGTACATGATAGCAGTTCACACAGGATGGAAGAATGGCGCCAGCGTTTTATTTTGTCCGTATTTGCATGTTATGATTGAGTCAAGTGAAGGGCCGCACATTGAGCTCGTTTACGCCGTTTACGATGCTCGTCGTGCCGTGTCCCGTTGGTTGAGAGGATCGGCGTTCCTAAGCGTACAGATAGCTCTGTGCCCTGGGACTCTCAACTAGTCGCCACCCTAACGTGGCGCCTGTCGGGGCTCAGGAGATCGTGGACCGTCTGGACGGGACGCCCAGGGACATCCTGGTCTTCTCCAAGGACAACCAGAAGTGCGACCCCCGAACTGAACCCGTGCTCCATCAACAACGGCGGCTGCGCCCAGAGCTGCCACCCCAGCGTTAACAACACGGTGAGACGTCGGCGTGCGGCGCAGTGCCCAGACCTTCACAGGAGCTGCATCAGCACCTCCCCACGACATCTGGCCGGCGCCGAAGTTCATTCAGACGCTTATGTAGTATTGCACCAAATGTCATTGATGTATGGGATGCGAATGTCCTCGACGGTCGAATGCTAGGGAATGCACACTGTTTGTTGCATGAATGCTGCTTTTGCGCACCGTTCAGCGGACATGCCGCCCACCTTCTGAGCGCCGGCTCGGCCCTGTCGCGCAGGTGGAGTGCAAATGCAACACCACCACCAAGCTGGTGAACGAGGGCAAGATGTGCGTCACCACCGACCTCACGTGCGACAACCACAAGTTCGTGTGCGGCAACGGCAAGTGCATCAGCCGGCTGTGGGCGTGCGACGGCGAGGACGACTGCGGCGACGGCTCCGACGAGGACGAGAACTTCTGCAGTAAGCGGCCGGCCGCGCGGGGCCCCGGGACCCGGCCGGCCCCCCGCGCGGGGCGCCGGGGCCCGGCCGGCGCCGGAGCTGGGCGGAGTGCTGGCGTGGCGCGAAGTGGGCTATCGCGGCGGGATCCAAATATTCGTGACAAATTAAAAACACTTGCCATGCGAGTTGGCAGATCGTCTGCATTTTCTAGTTTTACGTTTCGATCTTTGGCTTTACCGTATTTTCCTTTAGCTTTCACTGTCTACGCTCCTCTGCGCTGCTCAAGAATTAACTGGGCTGAACACCACCAACAACATGCTAGCGTTGGGAGGCAGGTGCCCGGTCGGCGGCGCCGCCATGGCTCGTCTGAGCCGGTCCCAGCTGACGCCCCCGCCCCCCGTCGTTGCCAGCGTTCCACACCTGCAGCCCGTCTGAGTTCCGCTGCGGCAACGGCCGCTGCATCTTCAACTCGTGGAAGTGCGATCATGAGGACGACTGCGGCGACGAGACGGACGAGGCCGAGTGTGACTACCCGCCCTGCGACGAGGGCGAGTTCACCTGCGCCAACCACCGCTGCATCGACATGGATGAGGTGAGCACGGCGCCGTCCGCGGGAGGGACTCCCCCGGCCGAGGGAGGGGAGGGGTAACGTAGAGTTGATGTACACTCGTGTCGAGGAGATGAGCTCTCGTGTAAGTGCTTGTATTGTGTGAGTAGCTGGTATGCTTGCGTGTTGGGTACGGCTGTGTAGCAGTGCGGTACATGTTTTCGTGGGAATACGCTGTAACTGAACTATGCAGTCATGCAGATTTATGTTCTGGTTGTGCGATGGCAGAATGCACTCTTGCCATTGACTGGATGTTGCTCCCCTTCTTATCATGTTCGTGTGGAGTCTCAACCCTCTTGATGCTTCTGCTCTTCCATCCCATCCTGTCCCATGCCCCACGCATAACAACATAGGTCTGCAGCGCACATTTATCTGTCCGAAGGTGTTGAGATTCTTGCCGTGATAGCTTGTGTCTGATGTAGTACGCTTGTGTATGACTGCACGGTTTGCTTCGTATGCACCTGTTGGCTGCGCTCCTTTTGACTGCGACATGGATTATGGAGTGTACCTGGTGGCTGCAGCGTTCTGCCCGCCGTCTGACGCCTCTCCCATCTGACCCGCTACAGGTCTGCAACGGCGTCAACGACTGCCGTGATAACAAGACGACGGACGAGTCGCTGGAGCGCTGCAGCAACACCACGACCACCTGCCCGACCAACCACCTCAAGTGCGAGACGACCAACATCTGCGTCGAGCCGTACTGGCTGTGCGACGGCGACAACGACTGCGGCGACAACAGCGACGAGAATGAGCTGCACTGCAAGGACCGTCACTGTCCGAACAACAGCTTCAGGTGCGTCGCCCGGCTGGGACGGGAGGCAGCGTGGACGTAAAGCAGCGGGCGGATCAATGGGGATCAATGGGCTTGCGCTTCGGCAGTTTAGCGAAACATGTGGCAGTTACGGCCGTTGAAGTCGCCACTAGCGATGGGAACCGGTGATAATGGCAGGTTTCTGCCAGCGTGGGAGTCAGCTGTGTGGTGGGTTGAACACCTTTGGGGCCGAAAAGCAGCTCCTTGATCATTGGGCGGCTTGCCCCGGCGGGGGGCGCTTGGTGAGCGTCCCAACACTGCAAGCGTGACGGGCGTAACGTGTCACGCTCGCCGGCGCGTGATGGCGGTGTTTTGACTCCGCCGTTGGCGTCGCTAGGTGCTCCAACCACCGCTGCATCCCCGCCACCTGGCACTGCGACGGCGACGACGACTGCGGCGACGGCGCCGACGAGCCGGACGACTGCAAGTCGAAGGAGCGCACCTGCTTCGGCGACCTCTTCACCTGCAACAACGGCAACTGCATCCCGCGCATTTACATCTGCGACGGCGACAACGACTGCGTGGACGGCTCGGACGAGGACGGCCGCCACGAGTGCAGTAAGTCTCGGCCGTCCCACTCTCTGCGCCCTCTCTGAGCGGTGAGCCGCTCCACCCCTCTGCTCCGGCTCTGGCGCAAGTCCGTCCACCCCTTCACATGGCTCGCTCGCTAGCTGGTTTGCTGTTGTTGGATTGCGACTCTTCCTTTCTTTTGCCCCCCCCCCCCCCCACCCCCTCCCCGGTCCACCTCTTGTGGTCTTTGGTCTCGGTGTTCGTGCCTGGCAGTTTGGGCATGCCGGGCGCCTATTTTCAGCATTACGTTCAATGACTTTGATGACCCCCCCCCCCCTCTTACCGTGCAGTTCTGCAATCCCTGGCTTTAGTTCTGCCCCTGTGTCCAGTAGTGATGCATTTAGAATATGCAAACCTCAATTTTGCACTGCGTTCCCCTTGTGCATACAGCCTTGGTACGTAGTTCGTAGATGACTGGAGACCATCCATGGGTCCTGAAGTCGATTGCAGACATGTGCCTTATGCGAGCTGGCCATCAGGTTCCACCACCGCTCCGTCGGAGGTGCGTTACGACTCACCCGAGCCCTGACCTGGCCTCCCTTCTGCAGACAATCGGCAGTGCTCCAAGGACGAGTTCCAGTGCACGGCCAACAAGGACTGGGGCCGCGCGCTGTGCATCCCGCAGCGTTGGGTGTGCGACGGCGACCCGGACTGCGGTGGATGGCGCCGACGAGGACAGCGAGCGCGGCCAACTGCACCACCACGCCCGACACGTGCACCACGGAGCAGTTCACCTGCGCCAACAAACGCTGCATCAACAGCGTGAGGAACTGGGCGAGGGCCGGCGCTCCGTGCTGGCGGCGCTCAGTTAGGGCGGTGATTCAGGCTGAGGCTCGGAGCGAAACAAGCAGCTGAAGTCGGTATTGAATAGACTTGTGGGGTCGTGTGTTGGGGACGGCCCTTTGCCCGGCTCATTCTGGACCAGTCTTCGTGCTTAGTTGCAGTCGTGAAAGGAACAAGACGAGGGCTTGTGGGGAAAGTGCGTGAAATTGGCCAAAAACCCGCCCTTGGCACTGTGCCGTCCGTTTAGCTCCTAAATGGTGAGTGTGGCGATGTTTTCAATACTTCATTTTCAAGTGACTGGCGAGTCTTTTGATCCAGCATTGCCTTGCATCGCATTCATCACAAGCTGTGAATGCTCCCCACGATCGGTCCACGTCAGAGGAGGCTGAATCTCTCCTATTGCGCGCGCTCTCATCCGTGCTCCGCTGCCCTCCCCCTGCCAACCCGTCCCCTCTCCCCCTCCTCCACCTGGTCGGACGGTCGCTTGACCCGGCCATCCACTCGCGCCGCCAGAAATGGGAATGCGACCACGACAACGACTGTGGCGACGGCAGCGACGAGAGCCGCGCCTGCAACGGCCGCTACCCCAACTGCACGAGCGACGAGTTCCCCTGCTCCAACGCCAAGTGCGTGCGCCAGGCGTACCGCTGCGACGGAGACGACGACTGCGGCGACTTCTCCGACGAGGCGGACTGCTGTGAGTTCGGGGGCGACGCTGGGTCGGAGATGGCGCGAGGCCGCGGGCCGGGGCCCGGGACCGCTGGCCTGAGGCTGGAGACGGCGCTGGAGTCGCCGGTCGTCGGGGATATGAGAGCCGATGCCGCGCTCATTGAGTCTGTCTGTTTGCCTCTCAGCTGCCCTGTCGGTGATTCGCATGCTCTCATCGGCGGTGTTTAACAATCGGCCACGAGATGACGCTCGCTCTACAATGGCCTGGTTTTGTGCGTATTCACAGGGAAAGAAGAGGCCGAATGTCAGCCTGGCGAATTCGCGTGTGGTGGCAAGGACGCGGAAAAGCACTGTATCAACTATGAGCTGGTCTGCAATAAGGTAAAGCTGACGAAGCATATTTAGGCAACCACAATGGGTAGCCTGAGCAGCACTGCGTTCCGCGAAAATGATTGACAAATGATTGTTTGTATTCAACATACTGCTGAGACTCGATCAATTTTACGTTGCTGTCAGCCTTCTGCAGGATCAACGAGACTCACGCGGCACACAATCACGCAAGAAGCATCCGCTTGCATGCCTCTTGCACGGATTGCACAGATCTTGCACGCATCTCACTCCGATCTGAGACCGCACCGCGAACGTGGTGCACTGCGGCGAGCCCGGCGGCCGGCTCCGCGCGTGCGCGCTCGACCCTGCACGCTGCCCCGTCTTTCCGCTAGGAGGAGGACTGCGAGAACGGTGCCGACGAACCACTGCACTGCAATGTGGACGAGTGCGCCAAGACGGAGCTGCACCAGTGCGCGCACAAGTGCGTTAACACGCTCATCGGTTACTACTGCGAGTGCAGCTCCGGCTACAAGTGAGTTAGTCGCGCCGCTGTCCGGCGGAAGAGACGCGAGGGTCGTTGCCCTCGCCGAGTTAGAGATGCTGGTCTGTTTGTTTTTCGCCGTGGTTCGTGCTGGTTGTCTGTTTTGCTGGTGGCTGTGCGGCAAGGCTGCTGTTTGCTACCGCTGCACCCTTCTGAGTTATTTCCCAAATAACGCATCAAGGAGCATTCATGCAACCGTGTGCTCTGTGTTGCTGCACCCGTGTCTTGTTATAGCCGCGTATAACCACTTCTCCGCCTGATTGAAAAACTTACCTCTTGACGTGTCCACTTACACATTGGTGCTTGTGGGTGGACACGTGAGAGGTAAACGAGGCCCAGATAGCCAAGGCCCGGGTTTTCAGCTGCACCTTGGAAAGTTCGCGACAGAACGAAGTGACGCTGCGCTTTTAACCTTTTCCATAATGGCATGAGTGTGTGCCTCAGCGAGGTCTAATGCTTTCACACTGTTCCGGTCGAGCGGCCAGTCACTGAACCTCCCGTTTGCAGGCTGATGCCGGACAAGCAGGCATGCGAGGACCTGGACGAGTGCTCCGAGCGGGTCAGCGAGTGCTCGCAGAAGTGCTTTAACCAGCCGGGCACCTTCTCATGCAAGTGCAACGAAGAGTTCTACGAGCGCGAGCCGGACGGCCTCACGTGCAAGCGCCGCGACTCGATCACGCCGTGGCTGGTTATCACCAACAAACACTACGTACGCAACATCTCGACGGACGGCTCGCACTACGCGCTGATGCACCAGCAGCTGCAGAACGTGGTGGCGCTCGACTTCGACCTGAAGGAGGACCGTCTCTACTTCGCCGACGTTGGCGACAAGAAGATCCACCGCACACTGCGCAATACGAGCGGCGAGTTCTACGAGCCCATCATCTCGACCGACACGGGCGGCCTGGAGGGGCTAAGCGTCGACTGGATCGGTCGCAAGATCTACTGGCTCGACCGGAGTGAGAAGCATCTGGACGTGGCCAACCTGGACGGCTCCAACCGGCGCACGGTCCTGCCGCACGGCCTGACCGATCCGCGCGCCATTGCCGTTCATCCCGGCATCGGTTACATCTTCCTCACCGACTGGAACCTGCAGGCGTTCATCGGCAAGATCGGCATGGACGGCAGCAACTTCACGCGCATCCTCACCTTCAACGACAAGGTGATCTGGCCCAACGCATTGACCATTGACTTCTTTGCCGAGAAGATTTTCTGGGCGGATGCGCACATGGATTACATCGCGTACGCCGACTTCGAGGGGCGTGGCAAGCACGAGGTGATTCAGGGCCAGAACGTACATCACGTGTTCGCCCTGACCATCATGGACGACACCATGTTCTGGACGGACTGGAACCTGAAAGCAGTGGTGAGCGCGCACAAGTTCACTGGTGGCAACATCAAGATCCTCCGCAACACAACGCACCGGCCGTACGACATCAAGGTCTACCACCCGCTGCGCCAGCTGGCTTACGACAACCCATGCGCTGAGGATAACGGGGGCTGCTCACACTTGTGCTTGCTGGCGCCGGCCAAAGATGGCGGCACGCGCGCACAATGTGCGTGCCCGGACGATTTCAAGCTGATGGCCGATGGGAATACGTGCATTAACAACTGTCCGAAACGGACGCACCGCTGCGGCGCGCCCGACGACATCTGCATACCCTGGTTCTCCAAGTAAGTGACCCGTATGGGTGGGGTCCGATGGTATCGCGAACCGGTCCCACCATGCACCCATCTTTATCTACAGGCATGATCGGTGTTACCTGGTGATGTGGACAGTCTCATCGTAGATCTATCCAGATCGGTCCTTCTTCGCCGTGACCGGTTAGACGACCGCGGTAGTTAACACGACTTCACCCGCGCTGCTTGTTCGCTGCACAGATTGGAGAGGTATTCAGGCTCACTTTCCATTCGGCGGGGGCCGACGTCGGAAACGAAGACCCGTCGGAGTTAATCCTCCCCCTCCCGCCATGCGCTTACGAGGCTGTCCCTGATGGGCGCAGCATGAGCGCGCGCTGACCTGGCGTCGGTCGGCAGGTGTGACGGCGTGCGGCAATGCAAGGACGGCTCAGACGAGCACGGATGCCCAGAGCGCGTCTGCCCCATCGGACAGTTCCAGTGCAAAAACAACAACTGCACCTTACCGTCCCAGTTCTGCAACCGTGAGTGCTGCACGAGCATTCCACTGTCGGGCACCCGCTAGCTGACGGCATTCATGAGTGGATGACGGACGCTGACGCTGACTGAATGGGCTGAATGACTGAAAGCCAGATATTGTAGCTGATCGACCGAATAGAAGATGCTGAATGAAAAGCTGACAGAATAAATGGCATGTGTCTGCTTATCGGTATGTACCGAAATGCCGTTCGTGGTTTTTGCATCACGTGTTATATGTTCGCTCACCAGAGGTTTTGAGCGCAAAAACATTACTCTTGGTGGCACAAAGGCTCTTAGTAAAAAATTGTACTTAATCTAGTGCGTAAACCTCACGCAGCTATCCACACTCCCATTTCCTCCTCGTGTACCATGTTTTGCTTCTCGCGTCTGATTCCGTGAAGCAGTCCACGCGATGGTAATCGTGCCACCTGGTCGCCGCAGTGAACGACGACTGCGGCGACAACTCGGAGGAGGAGAACTGCGCGAACGAGTGTCCGGAGCATATGTTCCGCTGCAAGAAGAACGGCTACTGCATCAACAGCGCGTGGGTCTGCGACGGTGACGCCGACTGCCGCGATGGCACCGACGAGGAAGAGGAAGAGTGCCGTAAGTCCCGACGGGCGGCTGGTGCCGCGCGCCTGCCTGGCCGCCCCCCTCTGAGCAGCGCTTTACTGTCGGCCGCAGGGGTGTTACTGACGTGTGAAACGGTCGTGCGCACCCGAAAAAAACGGCGCGTGTTTTGTGTGTCTGTGATTTGATGTAGGTTTTGCACCTGATCCAGCGTCGCTGCGCAGCTTAAGCCCCCTGATTTCTGTGCTCGATTGAATCTTTTGTGCCAGGCATCATGGACAGTTGCCACTCTAAATCCGCGTTGCGTGCAGGCACTGTTTTCGAGATACTTGTAGCACGCTCGCTAGCGCATACCCTCAAACATGAGAAAGTGCCTGCCGCTGCGTTACCACCGCGCGCCTCGCTGCTTACAGACCACGGCAACTGCGACAAGGACACACAGTTCTCCTGCAAGAACGGCAAATGCATCGCCAAGCTGTGGTCGTGTGACGGTGATAACGACTGCGGCGACGATAGCGACGAGCCGGCACATCTGTGCAGGTGGGTCTGACCGCTGCGACGCCGAGCCCCGAGCCGCTGCGCAAACCGAGCCCCGAGCCGCTGCGACACCGAGCCCCGGGCCGCTGCGACACAGAGCCCCGGGCCGCTGCGACGCCGAGCCCCGAGCCGCTGCGACACCGAGCCGAGCCCCTGCTACACCGAGCCCCGGGCCGCTGCGACACCGAGTCCCGAGCCGCTGCGACACTGAGCCCCGGGCCGCTGCAACACGGAACCCCGAGCCGCTGCGACGTTTTGTTTTGGACGCGTCCGCCGCTGCCGCCCGCGGAGGAAGTGGCTTTTGTCGTTGGCGGCCACCCCTTTGTTTGCGCCAAATCGCTGAACTGTGCTGCCGTCTGTCGTTGCGTGTATTTCCTTCATGCGGGCTGAAATGCTTAACTAGGTGTTGTCACCTAGCGTATTCTTAGGCATGATTAGGGACATGATTCCAAGCGGTTACAAATCCCGTCTTTTGTTTTCGACCTGGAAACACGAATGCCGCAAATGCCGCCGAGTGCCTCCCGATCGCCTGGAACAGCTTGCAGTTGCGGTGTTCCCTCACGTGACCGGGAGCTGCAGCGAGGCACGAATCCAGGGCGCCGCTATCCGCTCACGCGTTGACGGCGCCACGACGGGCGGGCGTTGCCGCAGTCGGCCTCGGCCCACGTGCACTATGCGCCGACCGGCGGCGCGGCCGGCAGCGCGGTGGCGGCGAGGCTCACTGCTTCTTGGCCAGCAGGCGAGCCTTGGTCGGCTTCAGCGGCTCGCTGTCCTTCAGCGCGTGCAGGGTATCGTCCAGCACGTGGGTCACGCTCTTGCGCAGCTTCGCGTCTCGTCCGGCGTGCCCGTTGCTCGGGGCTTGTCTGCCAGTGAGGTGCTCCCGACCGACGGTCGCTTCGTGCAGCTGCTGCACGGGCACTGAGCGCGCGGTCGAGGCCGCTCTCACTACTTTGGACAGCTCCGGCGAGATGCTGCTGGCGCCGCTGATCTGCTTTTCAACGCCGTCTAGGGCCATGCTCTTGGATGGTGTCAGCAGCTCCGTCTCTTTGCGGCTACTCTTTTCGTGGGATGCTATTTTTGGCGTCACGCTGGTGGCGTTAGTTAAGGGGACCTCCGTTTTCTTGGTTGTGGTCTCCTTCCCAGATGCCTTCGATCGCCCTTCATCTTCATCAGCATCATCTTGTTTTCCGTCGTCGTCCCGGACCGTTCCGATGGTAGTTTGCGCCGGCTGCAAAGTACCGTGCCGCGCCTTTTCCGGTCGGTGGGGCCCACCTGATCTGTTATTGCTGCCAGTGGACACCGAGGAGAGGCTTAGGGGTATCAACTTTATCGTTGCCCGCTTCTCGTCGGGTGTCTTGGCTGGGGCAAGCTGGCGGGCGGTGTCGCTAGTCGGCATGCCGTCGGTCGAGTTCCTGTCGGGTGTGACGTCACTAGAGTTCCTTGTCGGCATGTCTCGGGTGGTGGTCCTAGTCGTTACAGCATCGGTAGAGTTGATGGCCGCTGTTGCGTGGTTGGAGTTCTCTGTCTGTATTATGTCGGTAGAGATCTCGGTGGGCATGTCGTCAGTAGATGCCGTTGTTGTTCGTGGGTCGTCAGTGGAGTTTTGGACCGATGTGACTTCAGCGGAGTGCCTGGCCGGCGAGACTTTCGAAGAATTCGTGGTCGGTATGCTATGTATGGGTTGTTGTATCGGTACTGCAGCTTTCTCGGCCGTTGCGCCGTGGTTGGAGTGCCTTGCCGGTACCACGTCGGCAGACTTCTCGGTTAGTTTGCCGTCGCTGGCATTCCTGCTGGCATTGGTGCCTGCAGACTTCCCTTCGGCACAACTGCCATAATTTCTTTGCTCGGCCCGATGGAGAAAGAACTCCCAGACGTTGTAAAGCGATCCTCAGAGGTGCTTTCCGACCTAGGCGTGATCGCAGAAGTCACTTTCGGCAGCGCTATGGACGCGGAGCCCCTCATAGCTGAGGCGCGACCCGCCGATGTGTCGACCAATCGACGGAAGCCGTCCCCGCTCGCACCATCACGCACTGGCACCGCGGCCCGCCTGCCGCTGGTCGCGCCACCGCCGCTGTCCGTCGCGCTCCCCGCCCCGTCCGGTACTGTCACCCGCCACCGGGCCGACCCCGCCCCCTCGCCTCCTGGCCGAGGCTGGTCTGATCGCGCTGTAGCGCTTGCACCGGGCTCACCAGCGACACGTTGCTGAGGCGAATCACATCGTGCGTCAGGCGCGGCTGTCGGACGAAGTTGAGCCCGAGCCAGGGCGAGCCCGACCCGAACTGTCCCAAGGCCGCCGGGGTAGCCGCTGCCAGGGTCAGCAGAGCGAGTGACCAGACAGCGCGCATGGCTGCACGACGGCCGCCCGCGGCGGCCCACTGACAACTGACCGGACTCTGCTGTCACGCCGGCCGCCCGGCCGCCGTCAGTCCGCCCATTAGTCAGTCACAGTGGGCGGGACGCCGGCGCTGAGCGCCGGGCCGCGCCCGCCCAGCGCCCGGCGCGGGTGACAGCGCCGAGTGGGTGGCGCCGGCGCTGACGCCTCTGACGCGGATCGGACCCGGCTTGCGGTGCTGCGTACTGCGGAGCGCAGGCGCGGTGCTGCGGGCTGCGGAGCGCAGGCGCGGTGCTGCAGATTGCGGGGCGCAGGCGCGGCAGATGCGGTGCACGTCGTACTTTTGACTTGTTTTGGTTGTCGCCACTGACTTCGTACCTGGCGCTGTCACCGCTGTTCATCTGTCGAGGATAGGGACCATGCCGTCTGGCTTCAGTTCTTTCGTACACGCACCAATGCCCCTCGCTAGTGCCGACCAGGACCTGTCAGCCGTCATCCCGGCACTGGCTCTGGTGTGTGACGTTTGCTCTCAGAGTCGATGGGGCGCACGTGACCCGTGGCGGGCGCTGACCCGTGCCCGCCACGTGACCCGTGGCGGGCACTGTAACTCAGACGGCCGGACAGCGAGTACGAGTGGACAGATGGAGCTGTCGGCTGGGCCGCGCGCGCTGTGCTGGGGCAGGCGGCCGGCCCCCTTGCTCACTCCCCGCGCTCCCGCGTGGCTAGTGGAATCGTTTGTTGACACCTGCCCTCTTTGATCCCTGCCCTCTAACCGTTAGTGAGGCAACCGTATGAGGCATATGCCAGTATTTCGTACATTGACGGGACGCCAAATGGTGGAGCTATGGCGATGCGTGACAAAAATAAAAATGTCGCACCCTATTGATGCCTGGGCAAGGGACGTCTCGAGGCCACTGCGTCTACCACTTGACGTGAGGCGAGAGCAGAGTGGCCACCGCTACAGCACCTGGAGACCACATGTTCTCGCATATCGTGACTAACGCATCGTTTGCGCCTCGCAGGCAGCGCAACTGCACTGCCGGCTGGTCGCGGTGCCCCGGCTGGGCCAACTACCGGTGTATCCCGGACTGGCTGTTCTGCGACGGCAAGGACGACTGTCGCGACGGCAGCGATGAGCTGGAGGAGAACTGCCCCAAGTGTGACAAAACCGAGTTCCAGTGCGACAACAAGCGCTGCATCCCCGAGTAAGTGGACACCGGATGGGAAGGCGGCGGGGGCGGGCAGTGGGCAGTACGGCTGAGGCGAGCTGGGTTACCGCCCTGTGTGCCGGGAATGGGTGTGGCGTAATGACGCCCCGGTGACGTCCTGCAGTTGATATGTAGCCTGGCTTGCGTGGTGTTACTTGCGGCAAAGTAGTAACGCGCGCTGTAAAAAAGCGCATTCAGCCGGCTCTCCGAAGCGGCTATGAGCCCAGTTGGTCTGCAATACCAAACCGCTGAGCTGCGCCGACGGGCAGCGCCGCCGTTTCGCCCCGTCTCCGCCGGCCGCTAACGCGCCGGCGGCGCGCAGGCGGTGGCTATGCGACTTCACCAACGACTGCGGCGACGACTCGGACGAGGAGAGCGGCATGTGCACCAACCGGTACCGCGAGTGCTCGGAGTCCGAGTTCCGCTGCGACAACGAGAAGTGCATCCCGAGGCGCTGGCGCTGCGACCACGACGACGACTGCGGCGACAACAGCGACGAGGAAGACTGCTCCGGCTTTACTTGCCAGGTGAGAGCTGCCTCGAAGGCTGCGCACTGCGCGGCGATGAGGCTGCTATTCATTCAGTCGTGCTGAGTTTGAGTGTTTGAGAGAGCGTTTGCGGGCGCCTGACGTCCGTATGTGCCGTGTGTTAAATGATGGGTTGTCTCCCTGACGTCCGTATGTGCCGCGTGTTAAAGGATGGGTTGTCTTCCTGATGTCCGTATGTGCCGTGTGTTAAAGGATGGGTTGTCTCACCTCTTCGTCAGGCTTTATAGTTAGCATCGCCACGAGTGCTTTGTGTTCAGCTCGTCTACCTGACGTACACTTCTTCCGGGGTGTAGTCCAGTTGGGCATACAAAAATAAAATTATGCGGTGCTCATACTTGAATGCATGCATGCGCGCTTGCAGTAAACCCAATGTCGTCGGCCAGATTCGGTCGAAGCTCTGAGAACTGATCGCCGCGCAGCCCGGTCCACGGGAGGCGGTGCCTCCAGCGGCCGAGCTAGCCCCACGGCCGGGCTGCGGCCGGTCCGGCGGCCTGTCGCCGGCCGGCGGTTTGACGGCTGTGACCCGGCGCGGCTGCGGTGACGCGGACCCTGCGTCAGCGAGCCGTCACGGCCCGCGGCGCCGGCACCACCGCGGCCGGCGCCGCGGCGGGGCGGCAGTCGCCGGCGCCCGCGCGGCCCGCCGCCGACGCGCCGCCGACGTACGCACCTGAGGGCGTCCCCCTCTCCTGCGACGGGCCGGGGCGGGCGGGAGCGGCCCAGTGCGGGGGCGCCGGCGTCCGTGCGACTGTCGGCGTGGGGCTCGCCATCGCCGTGTGACTGTCGGCGTGGGGCTCGCCATCGGCGCGATGTCGTCAGACGGTCAGCGCCCCGCTCCGTCCGCAGCCGAACCAGTTCCAGTGCGCCTCCGGCCACTGCATCGGCATGAAGTTCAAGTGCGACGGCGGCAAGGACTGCCACGACCTGTCGGACGAGACCGACTGTCCCCCGCGCTTCCCCGGCGGGCGCTGGTGCCCCGAGGACCAGTTCCAGTGCGCCAACCACCTGTGCGTCAGCAAACGGGACGTGTGCGACGGGAGCGACGACTGCTTCGACGCCAGCGACGAGCAGGACTGCCGTGAGTCACGCTTGTCCGCGATGGAGCTGGACAGGTGTCGCTCGCCGAGATTGGCCGGAATTAGGGCTGGACAGAGAGGGCTTGTGAAGGCGACGCACGAGTGGTACTGCCCGGGCGTGTGCGACGAGTGCTGGCGTTGGATGTGCTTGACGGGATTTGGGGTTGTTAGGTTGCGCTGAAGACGCTGATAAGCATGCTGCCAAACTGCCAACATCTTACCTAATACGGGCAGTCAGTCCTAACGTAAAGAAGGGCTCAACTGACCTTATATTCCGAAAAAAGCATGTGACAAACTGAAGTAAATGTTGAAGGTAGTATGTGTTTCTGTGCTGCGTTCGTATGAATGGACCGGATGGACTCGCCTGGTGTACTACATGTGCGAATGCTCCGGTGCCTCGTAGGCGGATCATTCTCACGCAAGCACAAGCATTCGTTGGTGTTTGACCGTCGCCCTCGTGCCCACGTGTGCAGAGAGCCACGACTGTGAAGGCCTTCACCGATTCCGCTGCGGTAACGGCAAGTGCGTGCCGCGTTACCAGCTGTGCGACCGGACCGACAACTGCGGCGACGGCTCCGACGAGAACGACCTGACCATCTGCTCCGACCGGTTAGTGTCCGGGGTGGACGAGGCCTCTTCGGGGACCGCCGAGACGACCGGTTAGTGTCCGGGGGTGGGCGGGGCCGGTCCGGGGGCCGCCGAGACGACCTGTTAGTGTCCGGAGGTGGGCTGGGCCGGTCTGGGGGTCGCCGAGACGACCGGTTAGTGTCCGGAGGTGGGCTGAGCTGGTCTGGGGGTCACCGAGACGACCGGTTAGTGTCCGGGGGCGGGCGGGGGTTGGTCCGGGGGCTGCAGAGACGACCGGTTAGTGTACGGAGGTGGACGAGGCCGGTCTGAGGCCGTCGAGACGACCGGTTAGTGTCCGGGGTCGGCACCGAAGGCAGCTAGTGTTGAAAGGCTTTTTTGGGTGTGTTTGCGATTGTTAGAGTGATTACGTGGTTAACATGCACACTGCTAATCTGATTAATCGTAAGTTTGTGTGCACCGTTACCAAACATATTTCAAATGGCCGTATACTTCAAATGCGATACACCTTCCGTCCATCTCTTATTTTCGCTCGACACTGGATGACTGGCATCCATAAGCTACGCGCCAGAGTACCCGGGGCTGCTCGGTATGGCGTCGGTCTCGGCCACCTGTGGTCTGGCCAGTCTCAAGTCAGTGACGTGCTCGCGCCGCCCCGCCAGACACCGCTACTGTCGCTACGGAGAGTTCCGCTGCGCCAACAGCCACTGCGTGGCCCAAAGCAAGCTGTGTGACCACGCCGACGACTGCGGCGACCACTCGGATGAGCTCGGATGCCGTGAGTGCCCCGTGCCGATACTGGGCTCCGCGCCGGTCCGTCCGGTCCGCTCCGTGCCCTCGAGTGGAGCGCTAGATGGGTCGCAGCGCAGGACCTCGTCATATCTGGACGTTCGAGACTATGTGCAAGCTCGGCCTGCCTTACGATGAGACTGGTCCTGACGGAGGATTCCGCTGCGAGAAATGGGTGCTATATAAGGGTGTAACAAACGCCTAAACTCCTAATAAACCATCTTGACCCGCCTTGAGACAACGTGCGCATGAAATTGGAGGTGCAACTCACTTGGACCTCGTTTCTTGAATGAACATTTCCACTGTCCAGCGGCACGCCGATTGGTGGAGCCTGGCCGTTAGGTTACGCATACGCTCGTGGTTGCGAAGCGGGGACGGAAGCCTATGTTGATTGACTGTCGGCGCCGTGGTGCTGAACTGTTCTGACGGAGTGCCGGCGCCGTGGTGCGGACCTGTGCTGACGGAGTGCCGGTGCCGGAGTGCTGACCTGTGCTGGCGAAGTGCCGGCGCCGTGGTGCTGACCTGTGCTGACGGGGTGCCGGGCGCCGTGGCGCTGACCTGTGCTAACGGGGTGCCGGCGCCGGAGTGCTGACGGAGTGCCGGCGCCGGATTGCCGACCTGTGCCTTGACCTGTGCTGACGGAGTGCCGGCGCCGTAGTGCTGACCTGGCTGACTGGATGATTGCCGTCTCCTGTGCTGACGGGCTGCCGATGCGCCACAGACGCCGGCCCCGGCCAGGAGACCGCTCAGTGCGGCACCAACCGCGGCGGCTGCAGCCAGCACTGCACCGACATTGCGGAGGGCACCGGCTACGTCTGCCATTGCTACCGCGGCTTCCGCGCCGCCACCGACAACCCCAAACTCTGCGAGGACATTGACGAGTGCCGCGAGTTCACGCACAACTGCTCCCAGCTGTGCACCAACCTGAACGGCACGTTCTCGTGCAACTGTCGCCAGGGATTCCAGAGCGTGAGTGCCCGCGGTAGGGCGGTGACGGGACCGCGCTGCCGCGGTCCTTACCGCGGCGAGGCGACGTCCAAAGGCGAGCAGCCGCTGTTGGGCTGGAATTATAAAGCTGGGTTCGGCTACAGCTTGTGATAGCTGAGTGGTCGCACAACCACCCTGTCGCTGGCGTGCCGTTTGCTTGTTAACTGTTACTCGTCTCAAAGTGACCGCGTTTCTTACGACCGTCGCGTATTACCTCGTCTGAGAGCGCCGTCACCAAGCCGCCTTCGCGTCGGCCGCGTCGCGTACGATCCGTGACGCGGTGCCTGTGACACCAGGATGGTCTGACGGGAGTGTGCGCGCCTTCGCTGCCATCACCCCTGCCTCTACTCCACCGGCCCGGAGATCCGCGGCTTTGAGCCGGCCGAGAGTCGCTCCCTGGATGTGATCCGAGGAGAGTCGCGAGTCGAGGCTGTCGACTATCATCCCAGGTGGGTACCGCTGGTGGCTTGCCGAGTCGGGTCCCGGTGTCTCGTTGAGTCAGCTCCTGGTGTTGTGCTGGGTCGGACCTCCTGGTGCCCGCTGTTCTAGCTCCCGGTGTACCCCTGTGCCTGCTCCTGGTATCCGGCTGAGTCAGTTTCCTGGTATCGGGCGAGTCAGCCCCTGATACCTATTGAGTCGAGTTCTCGCGATCTCCTTTGAGGGAAATAGGTTTCCTTGTTCCCCGGTAGCAGATTTCCTTTCCGGTGTCATTCGGTGAGACTTCCCGGCGTGCTGAAGAGCTTAATCGTTCTGACGGTTCTGTTCGAAAAGAAACTTGTATGTGGATTTTTATTTCCATCCATGCTTGGCTTGGAAGATTGTGTTCACTCGACTAAATTTTTGTTTTATGATCAAAATATGTGCTCTAAAACCCTTCCATCTATCAGTAAATGTGCTATGTTCTGAAAATTGTTTTGGAAGGGTTTCGAGCGCCTTTACATGGTGAGATGCTCTAGAGACTTGCTCATGCTGACGTCCCTCTGAGAATAATTTTATTGACAGCAAACACATGGTGTTCTGGACGGACTCGTTCGAGAAGGCCATCAAGCGCTCCTACATCCCCGGCGACAAGGCTGATTGCCAAATCGGCTTTGCTCAAGATCTACAAATCAAGAGTAGTGATGGGCTTATGGTTTGCAGTTCGCATGGTCCTACTCCAGCGTACCGTTCTAATGCCTTCATGTCATCATGGTTGCATCTGGATTTGTACACTAACGCATAAACATAATTACATCTGTTCGCCTGCACCTGCTGGCTGGTGACGATGTTACTCCTGTCCAATGCTCTGAATGTGTACGGTGCTGCGCGTGCTCAGACAATACTCTCCATGTTCCGGTAACCAACCGAAGCCCGCCTTCCCACTGCGAACAGCCTGGGGCAGTGAAGTACTCTTTGGGCCCACTTTAATTGTGCACAGAGTGTTGCACGTGTGGCGGCCGTGTCCGTCTAGAGCCACCGCTGCTTTCGCCAAAGTCACGAGTCTCTTCGTACCGTCCTACTCCGCTTGTTAACCTCCATCGTGCATAGATGGACAAGCGCATCCTTTGAAGCTTGAACGGCCCCGAGCCTCGCTGTGGAAGCACATCAATGCCGACATCGCAAAATGCACGTATTTCTGGCGAAATCCAACCGCACCCCTACGTGGTAGTGAATTCGCCCAGGTTTGTTGTGTGTTGTGCCGGAATGTCATGAAGGTAGTAGACCAGGTGCATGAACATTGTATGCACGCCACACAGCGCGTTTTCTCATGCCATTGTACGTTGAAACGTTTATTTTTAACGGCACACTCCTGACGTCATGACGTGAAACAGGCCGTCCCTGCGGATGCCTCTGACCGTGTCACCGGCTCTGATCACGTGCCTCCTCTGCGCTGCCGCGGCGATGCTGACCAGCACGGCCCGATGAGTGGCGAGCGGGCGCCCTGCTTCGCCGGCGCCGTCCGCTCTCGGCGCCGTCCGCTGTCTCTGTCCTAACGCCGTCCCGCGCCGGCCAGGCAACGCCAAGCCATCGGGCATCGCGGTGGACTGGATCGCCAACAACCTGTACTGGACCCAGGTGGACCGGTCGGGCAACAAGCCGCGCGGCGCCGTCGTCGCGGCCACCACCGACGGGCGCTACAAGCGCTCGCTCATTGCCACCGGTAAGGGCGCGCCGCCGGAAGGGTCAGGCCGATGCTGGAACTGGCAGCGGGGCCCCCCCCCCCCTGCACTGTTGAGCCGGCACTGGGGATCCCTTACGCTGCCGAGTCGCCCTCATTCCCGTTCCCATGCCTCCGTCTCCGCCGCCTCCCTCCCCTCCACCTTTCTGTCTCTCCCGCCTCCCTCCTCTCCTCCCCGCTCTCTCCTCCCTTTCCACCCATTCTTCTTATCCTGTGTCCCTCTCCCCGCCTCCCTCTTCCCCTCCTTCCTCTTCGCCTGTCTCTCTCCCTCTCCTCTCTCCCGCCTCCCCTCCCCACCCCCTGTTCCCCGCCGTCTTCTCCCCTCTTCCCTCCCCTCTCCCATTCCCCGCCTTCCTTGAGCCCCGCCTGCCCGCTGGACTGGCTGCTCCAGCTTGATAGGTGGGGTGATAATTTGGGGACTGGAAATTATTGGAGCGCGTTGTCGATAACCGTGGGTTAGACGATAAAGCCACCTGATAATATCACGATCCAAATGGCTTTTACCCCAGGGGAGGATATAAGGATTTCCCTACGCTCGGTGCCTATTTGTGACGCACTTGTGTCCCTGCCTGTCATCTGTAGCCCTCAGGTTAGCGCACGCTGAATCTGCTGTTGTAAGCCGCAGTTGGCGATCCAGCTGTGGTCGCAGTTCCGCGCGAGGCGCCTCCCCCGCTGGACTCACGGTGGCCAAGCTGGGTCGCGCCTGCCGTCACTGAGCCCCCCCCCCCCCCCTCCCTTTCCTGCCGCCAGGTCTGGAAGAGCCAGTCTCGGTGGCCGTCGACCCGGAGCACGGCATCATGTTCTGGACGGACGTCGGCAGCATTCCCAAGATCGAGTCGTCCTGGATGGACGGCAGCAAGCGCCGGCTGCTCGTCAGTGACAAGGTAAGCGCGCCGCCGGCCCGACCGGACCGCGGCGGGCGCCGCCGGCCCGGACCGGACCGCGGGGGCGCCGCCGGCCCGGACCGGACCGCGGCGGGTGCCGCCGGCCCGGACCGGACCACGACGGGCGCCGCCGGCCCGGACCGGATCGCGGCGGGTGCCGCCGGCGAGACACTCACCGACGTCAGACTGGCACGCCTGCATTGACGCTACTCAAGCGACCTGACCCTTCTCCCAAATGAAGTACACTTGTTTAAGTTGCTAAATGTGAAAGGGATATGTAATGGCCGAGACTAAAATGATGGCGCAATAAAAGCTCACTAAATAAAAAAAAGCTCACTTAATAAAATTAAAGCTCACTTAAATGGTGAGCTTCGGTCTGCCACGCCGAAGCGCAGTGTGGTGGAATAATTGTACCGCTAGTAGTGGTGGAATACGTGTACCGTTAGTGGACGTCGATGTGCGTTCGGCGGGTTGTGAGATGGCGTCCCTCAACACCGGGCCCGTGTCGCGCGCGCAGGTGGAGCACCCGACCGGCCTGACCATCGACTTCGCCATGGGGCACACGGTCTACTGGGCGGACACCAAGCTGAACATGGTGGAGGCGATGCGGGAGGACGGCTCGCGGCGTCGCACCATCATCTCGGGCGACAGCCTGCAGCACCCGTTCTCGCTGGACGTCTTCGAGAGCTCGGTTAGTGCAGCCCGGCCCGGCTCGGCGAGCGCTAACATTGCTCAGGCGGCGGGCGCGGTTGATGGCTACAATCGTGGCTCTGTGATCAGTGCCGGTAATGGGGTGGAATGTGACATCGGTTCAGTGATGGGGAGATAAGTGATTGTGGTCTTTGGTAGTCTAATCGATAGGAAGTTGTCATTTAACATCGGCTGCTTTGGCATGTCTGCTTTAGTTTCTTCACATCACATCGAAACTGGCAACGGACAACTTTAATTCATAACATCATGCTACGGATGCCGGACGTATCCGTTTAGCTGGCAGAGTTATGCGCACAACCAGCAAAGATATGCGTCGCGCTACAGCGCCTGGCGTGACGCAGATCTGCTCATTGGCCTGCACGCAGCAGGGTCTCCGCCATCGGGGCGTGCGTGGCGCTCAGGCCGCTGTGTGGACCGTGTCTCCGTCAGATGTATCAGACCTGACCTGACCGTGTGCCCGCAGGTGTACTGGGTAACCCGGGACTCGGGCGACATCTTCAGCCAGGACAAGTTCGGCCGTGGCGTGCCCGTGAAGGTCAAGGGGGATCTGGCCAACCCGACCAGCATCCGGGTGCTGCAGCCATACCGATACAACACGACTGTGGTCAGTGTGGACCGCTGGCCGGTCATGACCGCGGCTCTGCCGGGCGAGGCAGCGCTTGTGCCGACGTGGGCAGGTGTCAGATCGTTTCCAGATCAGTGACGCCACGGCTTTTGCACCTCGAAAACCACGCTCATAGTCGGATGCCTGTGTTGACCGCCTCTGTCCGTTTGTGGTGCACGCTATGCCATACATCCTCGGAGCAGTTTGTAAGCTGGCTACGCATGTGTGCGCATCGTGCCTTCCTGCAGAACACCGATGCGTTCTGAAACCGACGCTGGGACGTCGAGCCTGGCAGTAGATGAGCTGCCGACCAGATGTGTGTGCCACTCGACGCTGCCCGTTGTGCCGGGCTCTGCCTCGAGTCCGACGGCGGTGGACGGTCCGAGCTGACAAACTTGGTGTGCCCTGCGCAGGAGAACCGGTGCTTCCAGAGCCCGTGTTCCCACCTGTGTCTGCTGATCCCGGGCGGCTACCGCTGCTACTGCCCGGACAACACCCAGCTTAGGGACAGCTCCGGCCGCAACTGCAACGCCGGTCAGTGCTCGCTGGCCGTCCACTGGCGCCGTCCGACTACGCCGCCGGGCCGCAGCGCCGCGCCGCTGGGACACAGCGCCGCGCCACTGGGACACAGCGCCGCGCCGCTGGGACACAGCGCCGCGCCGCTGGGACACAGCGCCGCGCCGCTGGGACACAGCGCCGCGCCGCTGGGACACAGCGCCGCGCCGCTGGGACACAGCGCCGCGCCTGGGACACAGCGCCGCGCCGCTGGGACACAGCGCCGCGCCGCTGGGACACAGCGCCGCGCCGCTGGGACACAGCGCCGCGCACTGGGACACAGCGCCGCGCCGGGGACACAGCGCCGCGCCGCTGGGACACAGCGCCGCGCCGCTGGGACACAGCGCCGCGCCACTGGGACACAGCGCCGCGCCGCTGGGACACAGCGCCGCGCCGCTGGGACACAGCGCCGCGCCGCTGGGACACAGCGCCGCGCCGCTGGGACACAGCACCGCGCCGCTGGGACACAGCGTCGCGCCGCTGGGACACAGCGTCGCGCCGCTGGGACACAGCGCCGCGCCACTGGGACACAGCACCGCGCCGCTGGGACACAGCGCCGCGCCACTGGGACACAGCGCCGCGCCACTGGGACACAGCGCCGCGCCGCTGGGACACAGCGCCGCGCCGCTGGGACACAGCGCCGCGCCGCTGGGACACAGCGCCGCGCCGCTGGGACACAGCGTCGCGCCACTGGGACACAGCGCCGCGCCTCTGGGACACAGCGCCGCGCCTCTGGGACGCAGCGCCGCGCCGCTGGGACACAGCGCCGCGCCTCTGGGACACAGCGCCGCGCTTCTGGGACGCAGCGCCACGCCGCTGGGACGCAGCGCAGCGCCGCTGGGACACAGCGTGGCGCCGCCGGGACGCAGCACCGTACTG